CCCTATTAATTAGAGAATAACTCGATGTAGTCAAATTATTTCAGAGACCAGGAGAGTGACCGCCGCGACAGTTAGTGTTACTTGCGGAAAATGATCAGCAGCATATAAGATTTGCCAGTCAGGTTTCCTGGATAACTAAAGAATTCCAAATTTGTTATAAAAATATCGCAGCATATTTGCTGATGAAATTATTTTATCTTCATCAAAATAATAAGAAGTTTGGTTTGTCAAGTAGTCAGATTCATAAGGTACGAGCTGCATTTTCGGCCACTGTGACTAATTTAATTGGTGTGATATTTCAAATAAGGATTTGGGACTTAAAAACAATTTCTAATAAAATGAATTTTCAATAGGTTAACCAGTTGTCTAGTTTGCCACCATATTATCATGAATATGAATGCAAAGTGAATAATTGACTCGTATTAGTAGGTTCCGATTACAAGTCCTGAACTATCTTATAATGAACCTACTTCTCTTTATTATTTTATTTATGCGATAACGTCATAATTTCTCTATTTGATTTCAACTATCTGTAGGTATGCATCGAAAAATATGTTTCGCAGTTTTTTTAATTCACGAATTTTTCACTCTGAAATTCGGAATGTAAAATCTCGTAGGTGGGGCTTGCGTTACTTCATGAAAATTCCATTATCTGATATGTAAAGTTCTTAGAATTAATAATTATATTTTTAATTCCACGAAGAATGTAGATGATCTTCATTTCTCGTGTGATATTTATTGACTTCGGAATTCTCCGTAAAATGGATTCTCTCGTCTTTACTTCTGCTCCAATCAAGAGATATTTATTGTTATTGATTTTGCTTGTTCGATACTTGGAGCGACCGAGCGTCAGGCTTCGGCAAATATACTTGCTCTGAGACCAACGTCACGCGGCGCCAAGAAGGTAATTCGCGTGTGCTAATAACTGTAAAATTATCTCCGAGCTTCTTAGTGCATACCTTATGACCTTATGATGAGTTTGAGACTTCCTAGGCTCCGATCACGCTGATGCGCCGCCTTCGTCGTCCTCCGTCTCACAGTCGTCGCTATGCAGGTCACCCCGCCCTCGGGTCCCGGATGTAACGTTGGATGTGTTCCGTATATTTGCCCTCCTTTGGGCCAGCTGATGCAAGATGCTGTTGCTTGTCACTTGCTGAGGGTAGTTTGCCATTACTGGACAATCCGGGATCTTTCTCAACCACTTGTCCAGGGGTATCTGGAATGTTGCAAGGGTGAACTCCCCTCCTCTCAGCGCTTTTGGCTACGTGACTAGCGAGACTCACTGTGCTTTAGCTAGGCTGCTGCAACTGTCTGTGAGGCACTGACCAATAGGCGGCAGTGTGCGAGACACTGCGGTGATGTGCGAGACACTGCAGTAGTGTACGAGACACTGCAGTAGTGTACGAGATACTGCAGTAGTGTGCGAGATACTGCAGTAGTGTACGAGACATTGCAGCAGTGTACGAGATACTGCAGTAGTGTGTGAGACACTGCAGTAGTGAACACGAGATACTCCAGTAGTGTTCGAGACACTGCAGTAGTGTACACGAGATACTGCAGAAGTGTGCGAGACACTGCGGTAGTGTGCGAGACACTGTGGCGGCATGCGAGATATTGCACTGCGGTTGCGAGGGCTGCAAAGTATTGCACAGAAGATAAGTTATGAATTCGTGATCCTTCTTAATTAATTCTTAAATAATTATTCTTCTTTATTAATTATGATGATTACGAAGTTTCAGTAAAAGTCAAAGACAAAATTTATATGCCTGGCGAAACTCCATGAACGATCTTAGTTAATGCAACAAATATTACTGATCAAAGACATTAATTGCACCGCTCGAGTCATGTGCACCGTAATAAAGTTGGAAGAAAACAAACAAAATTGATAGATTATTTTCTAATTCCCTTTTATAATGGTTAAGTTCATTTTTTAATAGTTGGTCTAAAGTCAATATGTCTCCTCTAGATCATCAGTAAATGATTGTGAGATCTGGATGAGGATGTCATCGAAAGAGCCAGAATAGTGATTTTTGCTGCAACAAGGAAGCTCGGGAAGATTTTTTATTTATTCTGAATTCTTTTACCTGGAAGAAGATCTGCATGCTGTTAACAGATATTTAATCAAAATTTCATGCTCTCATTTGTATTTTCTATAAATTTTCAGGTAAATTTTGTGCAAATTGCTCCATGCCTTGCAGAAACTTCGATATTTATTGATCAATTGAGAAATTAAAGCAAAAATCAGATAAGAAAACTAAAAACGTTTCGGAAACCAATTCTATTATCAGTTTTGAACTTATGATGGAACAGGTCTCTGAAATATTTTTAGCAGAAATACGATGAGCTTCCTGTCATTTTCTAATTCATTGTTATTTGCTATAGAAGCAGACAAAGGAATGACTATTTTTTCTCAATCTATGATCCAGCATAACATGAAATTTATTTAGTAGAAGGCAACAACAGACGATGACAATGCAGGCTTTTGAATTTTTCTTTACTGAATAATGCTGTGTGAATAATAATACTGAATAATATTGTGTAAAGCCCTTCCATTTTCCAAGTTTTGAGCTTCTCTTATGAAAGCAGACTTGCTATTGGCTCTATTATAATTATTTTCAAGTTAACTACTTCCGTTTTTGGATTTTATAATTTATAATCACACTCACAGTTTTATTCTTCGGTCATCATACTATGAATTAAGCAAAATTGGCAGTGCTCTTCAATTTCATGCTATTTAGATTTAAACGACATATGTGAAAAATATGGGAATGCTTTCAACGAAACGCATGCTTCAACGCATTTCCCATTCCTCCCTACGATAATATAATTTGTATGAAACTTTCCATTTTTAGAATTTTCCGTCCTCTATTAATTTTTATTGTCGAGTCGGCTTTTTGGCCAGTTATCGTATACCTTTATCAAAAATTTATTATATAGAATGTAATTCGCAAACGCTACATTTAAAATTGCGAAATAATTTGAGGGTAGCAATATTTTTTGCCATTTGTCTGTCGCGATTCCAATTTTTAGCTTCAGTGATCCTCCACAGGATCGTTTTTCAGCTTTCTTTCTCCGACAATGATTATTAAAGCAGAATATCCAATATCGTGGCTTGGATATTTTAAATGAGCAGTAAAATTATTTATTTAAAAAAATATGGTCATCTGGGTCTGGGCAAAATTCGTTATCGATAATTTCCTCATGCGTAATCGTCAATATTTAGACTTCAATTTGCCGCACTGGTACATTTTTAAATGGAAACTCCCCCTTAAGAGCAAGTGATTCAAATCAAATTTAATTTATAGCGCGAAAAACTGCACTCGTAGTCATATTATTATTTATTTTCATGACTACGTATTTACACGCTGGCATAGCAGGCATCACCGCCGCTGGTATCACGGCTCTTCGTGGATCAGAGTTGACCTTTTAATTGACGACCTAATTTATCATGTACAATAATTTAGACAAAATTATTACAATATAGCGGTTTTAAAGACAAACTTTTTATGTAATCAGCCTACAATTTAAGAGGCTTTGACCTCGCAAGGTCATTAGGTCTAGTGAGCTGTTAACAAATTTTATTTAGCATCTTAAGTAAATTTTTACAGAACTTTTTTAGTTTGTTACTTTTTTACCGAATGCATATTTGGTTTGAGTTTAGTGTGAAATTTGGGTCAAATCGAGACAGTCGTAGTCCGTAGACAGTCGAGAAATAACCGCTTGGGTTATTTCTAAAAATTATAATATGATATTTGCGAGGTAAGACTTAGTAGTTTTCTCTAAATTGAAGTGAAATTGATGAATTAGTTTGCCTAGGACTAGGTCTGTTACCAGTCCAACACATAGGCGGCGTGGCTCAGTCATTACGTTCCAATGATATGTTTAGATAACAAATATAATTATAATAGCTACCTCTTTGAACACGGGTTAACACTATTTGAATTTAAAGATTCGCCTAGGTTACTATGTTAAATTTTTCTCTAATAACCATTCGTGTCCGGTGCTGGCCATGAGAATTGGAGAAAAATTTTCAGTCTAGTTGGCCGTGCAGGTTGAAATAAGTTGTCTAACCATCATGACGATTAGGGTGGCCCAGTGGTTTCAGTTCAGAGTACCGTAAGTGGAGCAGTGAACTGCTGGTTCTACCAGTTTCCTGTTAAAGCTCTGGTAGAAATTTGTCAGGTGGCCGGTTGGTCAAGGATATCAAGATTGGAGTAGCGTGTTTTCGAAACCCCAAGTAGTTGTATTAATTCTGCGATGTCTAAAATCAGCGACAAGCCATATTTGGTCTACTTCAACGCTGGCACCTTTAGAATATTATTCTATATATTATGTAGCGTCTGCCAACATGCTGAATCAGCTATCATTCCAACGTTTCTCAAATTGTCCTTTGTAGAACGCTCTAAGAATGAAACCTCAAACTAGCAATTATCAAAATAATAGACGTTTCCTCTAATGAGACTAATATAATATTTTAATTTGATTGTGTATTTTGATAACATATATATTTCCGGTTACCGCAGATTTTTTTAACTGGTATACAAGCTATTACTAGCAATCGGTTTCAACTTCAACCGTAACAATTCCCACACATCCTTTAATCATGATTGGATGTTGTAGCCGAGCTGTCATTCGATGATCCTTGCGCTGTAAAATCCACAATTTATACTTACAAAATAACTGTTCATTAATCAACTTATTAACTTCTAGAAGCAGTCGAAGTCGCGGCTCAATCCATGTATTAGTATAAGCGAGCCTACAAAAATTGTAATAATGACTTTAAGCTAGGAATTATGAGATCACATCTTATGGGCTAGTAAAATTTATGTTAACGTTAGCCTCTCGTGTGCTCTTTGAATTCATCATTCGAAAATAATATTGTCAGACGATGTTGAATGTAAAGAAAAAAAAATTAGTAAACACTTAAAACTGATCGAAATCATGGAGAATTTAAGTTTGGAAGAATTACAACCCACCGGTCAGGAGAATTAAGATTCAAGGACTTTCGAAAACAAAGTTTTTATAGTCATAAGTCTATACACCGTAAGCCATTATGAAAGATATTGGGCAACATGCTGATAACAAGAAAATAATTATCATACATCCTTACCACCCAAAATTACCATCATAGCACAAATCTGCCAACCCACCATTTCCATTACTAGCGCAGAGTTACTGCACCATTTAATCCCAAACAAGAAGATTTTGCAAGCCTCCTAACTGAATATCACAAAAAATGCCAACAGATTAGCCCTGAACTGTAAGTATTCGCATCTCAAGATCTCTCCAACGACCTCCAAGATCGTTTCAAGATCAAAATACTTCCTGGAGGTTTAAAATCCCTCCAGGTAACACGTACATGAGATTCGTTTTAGACATTGCCTGCGTCAGCTCACCAGCAACTCCGGGAAGTGAACTGAGCTCGAGTTCTCCAGAGTCAAACCCACGGCTTGCTCTCCCAATCTCGGTGACGCTACCAATGTCTCTACAATTCTTCTTTGCCAGCTGAGCCAACATCTTTGGCAGCTGGGCCTCCATCTTTGGCAGCTGAGCCTCGATCTTTGGCAGCTGGACCTCCATCTTTGGCAGCTGGACCTCCATCTTTGGCAGCTGGGCCACCAACTTTGGCAGCTGGGCCTCCAACTTTGGCAGCTGGGCCTCCATCTTTGGCAGCTGGGCCTCCATCTTTGGCAGCTGGGCCTCCATCTTTGGCAGCTGGGCCTCCATCTTTGGCAACTGGGCTCCCGCCTTTGTCATCTGAACCAGCAGCATTAGCAAGTGAGCCTCCGAGATTCATTTCAATGGGCCTCGTTGGTTTGGCACCAGATCGGCTGGGTTTAATCTTTTCCAAGGGTATCATGGCGAGAAACTTGTTGTATGGGGACCCCAACACAAGCATGTCATTTGTCTCCGTGGCTTCAGAAACGGAGCCTACAACTCCCGCTGGTGATTGCAACGAATACTTGGCGTACCCTTCAGCATCCAAGATCACTACCATCGAGCCTTCTTTTCCAAAAGTAGCAGCCGTTGTTGCCAGGTCGAGGACCTGTAATGTAGGATTAAAAGTGATACATTACAAAGCACGGAAAGTGCAAATTTATTTTCTAGAGCGATGTATATCTGTAGACTAATAGGTGTTTATTATATTGGTCAAATTAATTGCATTACCGGAAATTTAAGTAAATTAGAAACGTGCAATTTTACCACACCATAAACTTGATTTCCACCTTTTGTAACGAATCCGCGCAACTAATCTAAATGATATATATACATTCATATCAGATCATAGTAACCTTACAAACAGCAGTGAAATAGAACAATTAAGTTCAAACAACAACAAAAAAAAGTTATGACGACGAATCTCAAATCTTCGAGTAAACAGTAGTACTAAATAATTTAATATTAAAAACACAGGAAAAAAATTAACATTTTGTCTTTTAAGAAGCAATATACTCTTACACGTCAGGCATCTTGAAACGTTCCGAAAAGTTACATAATTTGAATAAGTGAACAAATTAAGATTCGTTCAGACACAAATTCCCTAAGAAGCCGATTTTAATGCCCTCATCATATAACTACACAACGACCCTCGGTTAATGAGAAAAAACGTTTGAGTTTTAATAAAAAACAAACACTCTTAAATGGCGCACTAATAAACCAATCACTTTCTTCACATAAACTCTCAGTCTCCCTGGCCCCTGCAAGCAGTCCATTCACGCCAAGCGCTCCAACCCTCGCTCAAAACACTACGTTAATATCTACTACCATCAGAGCATACTGTGGTTTTTTTGTCATTATATTAAATGAGTTGCATTGGTTAAAATAGTGATTAGCACGAGTGCACACGGAAGCAAGTTCAATGTTCAATGATGCGGCGTTACAGCAGCACGATATTATTCTTCATATTATAGCCCAACAGAAACGCATAAGGATGAAATGTTGTACATTATCATTCCCATTTTTTTGTCCTCATTATATCAACTACTGAACTACAAAATCCCAAGTAACACCCTTAACTTATGAGGAATATTTTTACACGTACTAAATAATACTTTACTTGTAAATAATTAAGGCCATGAAAAAAGAAAATACGTTTAAAAAATGCCGTTCTGGTATCATTACTAACAGCATACGAGACTCGTGCCAGAAACTGGCTCTGGAAATAGTGAGCTGCCATCTCGAGGATGTTTGTTGTGCCGTATCCAATGCGGGCCAAAAGTCTCCGCAGCCAAGGCAGCCTGAGCAGCGTTCCAATCATGTCGATAGAATTGGAGCTCTTCATGGCAACCAAGGACAGGTAGTATCCGCCTTATGAAGTTAAAGATAATGCATCATAAAAAAGGTTATAGATATTATAATGAACATAAAAGAACGTAGCATTGTTCATTGACGCGTAAATGTAAGAAGTATAACAAGTAAATGGTTGTATTTCACGTCATTCAAACCAAGATGCATATTTAATAAGTTGGAAGATTAAAAAAATGGGATAAAAAAAAGAGAATGTATGGTACTTATAGGAAGCATCAAAATTAGGTTCTTTATGAAATCCATTCAAGTCTACACATTGAAAAAGTTCCCGTTTTTTAAACAGATCTGTATTGCTCAAGATCTACTGATTTATCAATGTTTAAACTTTTTTGCGAAGGACCAGCAATAAAAAAAGATAACTCAGTACTCACTGCAGTGAGTGACAGAGAGCGCATTTTCTCGTCGACGAAAACTTGAGGTCACGGATGGACGGACAGACGGACAGACAGACGGACATGGCGAGCACAATAGTGCATTTATTCCATAAATGAAAAAATGCACTAAAAAGCAAATAAATTCAAACAAACCTCCAGGTTTTGCTCGGATGTTATCAGGATGGCCTGGCAGACCGTCAATGAAAACGTCATGGGTACCAGCCTTTTCTCCTTTCAACCAGTACCTGAGCAACAATAAATTTCAAATATATGAGTTCCTTCACACTGATTAAAGGTACTCATAGCTACAAACAACCAACTATTATTAAACTTGAAAAGATTTCAAAGCTTACATACTAAACAAGCTTAAGTAAACAGATATGATGTTATTACCTAAATATTTACTATGAAATGCAAAAGGAATTTCTGGAATTGATTCATTTCTCCTCAATAAAAATTAAGATTAATAAGAAAATTTCCATGTATCGGCTTTTTTGGGATTTCAGCAGTTGAAGTGCAACTCTGCATTCACATTTGATAATGCTTGATGTGTAATTTTGTTGTGTTCCTTAGAACCAGAAATTAAGAACAAAACTAAAGAAAGATAAACTCACCGTATAACCCTGCTTCTAATTGTCTCACAGACCAATACAAAATCTTCCTTTGGTGAAAGTTGAACGCCATTGGCAAAGAAGAGTTTGTCCAACAGAACAATATTTTTGCCAGTTTTAACATCAGTTTTTATCAACCTGTTGAAAAAGTCAACAGTTCAATTGGAGGTGCATTTTTGAGGTTTCAAGGCATTGAAGTCTGTGCAGCCACTGACCATGTCACACAATTAAGTATGTCTAGAAGCTTACTGCTTATACCTATTATTTTTTTTCAATTCTAAATCCATTATAAAAAGAATTGAATAGAATAATGTTTTCATCCTATTTGGAAAGCACAAGCAAATCTAAGCTTACATTTAAGATCTACAGAACTCAGTATATTTTAGATAAACTTGTTGAAGACACTCACTGCAAAAACTAAAATTTTAAATCACTAATATTTTCAATTAGTTGAGGAGTGAGATATCATAAGCCATGATTTACTTACATATACTTAGATATAAAAAAAAACATTAGAAAAACCAACCGTCCTGTTGGACCAGCCAAGATCTCAAGGGCGCCAGCATCCAGGCTGGCGATAGTGGAAGCATCAGACCAGTAGAGGTTACCTTCGATATCTTCATCAATATCATCCACAATCATGGGTCTTGTACCATTGATTGGTTCTTTTGAATCTAACAAGTGTTCTTTAGTTCCTGAAAAACCAAAAAAAATCTATTTTGATACGAAGTAAAAATATTGAATTAATAACATATGAATCAAAGAAAACTGCAATGATTAATTGAGATGAACAGGCAAAAATATCATATGAGAAGAGAGTGTGTTCATCAAAGATAACAACTCGCCTGCATCAACGTCAACTTTGAAAATTCCAAGATAGGAATCAGCAACAAGCAGCTTGCCATCATGGCCAAATCGAAGTCCCAGAGGGCGACCACAAACCTTTTCCTCCCAATAACCCTCTGAAATAACATTAAAGACATAGGTAATTGATCACAAAAGGGATTATGCTCATTCAGGCAAACTGTCCCTCATGTCATGAGTCTGTGGACAAAAGATAGTAGTGTATTTCTAAATTGCTTTAAAGAGCTTCTGCATAAATAACTCATGCTGTAAAATAAATTCTTAAAATGAAGTGCCTTAAATAGATTCACAAGTTTCTGAGATGCAAGGGTTGAATTCAGTTACTGTAAAATCACTGCAACAAAACTTACCACAACCAGGCCCAATTTTAACAACTTCTTCAACCTCTGAGTATGATGATCCAGTAATTTTTATTATGGATCCTCCATGCATGCTAACAAAAATTTCATTAGGTTTGTTTCTGTAAGCCACAGATTCAGGCCCTACAAAAACATTCTCATAATGTCGTTGAGCTCGGTCAAGGATGTTGTTGAGGGCAAATGGACCTTCACGTGGAGTAGTAGGGGCAATCCTGAAAATGCAGGTTGAATTAATTAAAAAGCTTATACATGCACATGTGAAACTTTAAACTTCTAACTTTATTATAATCAAGTTGATCATTATTTTTACTTTTTTACTTTTACTCATTAGAATTCCTGACTTTTAGCAAAACAAGAATAGAATAACATACTTCTAACATTTCAGAGCCTTGCATGCACTTGAAGACAAAGGTTTATCATATACAACATGATGCAAATTGAAGTAGAGGGAGGCATTAGAAGGAGGCATGACTAAATTTAAATGGGAGGCATTTAAATTTAGTCTCGCTCGGCACTTTTTTAACTTATTACCATTTGCCATTTTCATTCATACCTCATGCTTGAATTATTAAGCAATACTTGTAGTCTAAGAAGCAAAATATTATCTTATTTGAATATTATATATTATATCCAAAGATTCTTGACGAATGGTGATTCTACCTATTATTTGCTTATTAATCATTTGAACTTAGTCAATAAAATTGACACATTAACACAAAATGTTGTATATAAACATTTGTTGTGCGAGTAAGGATTTACACTTTCTTTTACTTTCTTACCAATTATTTCAACAATGTCAATGAAAGTGATACAGTACAAAAAATCTAGCAGCAAAATCAACTCAATTCATCCAATAAACCAGAATACATACTTACTCTTCAACTAAAAAGTCCCCATGTGGTGGCAGTCCAGGAATAAAAGTAAGTATAGTTAAAAATAACACAGAATGCACTAAAAACCATGATAAGAACTTGATACAATTCATCATCTTGTAAAATCTGAAAAAATAATATCAATGTTATATAGTATACTGAGATAAGCAGAAAGTAGGCAACCTTAGTTAGGTAACAGGGTTGACAGGACAATTACCCATGTCCTGTTATTTCATTTTAATGTTGGTGACAAAAAATTTTGCAGTAAGTGTTTATATATACCGCACTAGTAAAATTGAAACAGCAAAGCAATACTGATCAACTGGGTGGAACTAATTGAGCAAAGAACTTAGAATCCCACTAGGTAATAAGCATGGTTTACCATGAATGTTCATGCCAATAACCTTCCCACTGAAATTTTTTGCTGACCTTTATTATAAATGATCTAGTATTTCATGAAAAAAAAACACACTAAACCAAGTGAACCACATTCCTCTGAGTGATCAAAACAGCTTTTTAGTCATCGTGTGATTATCAAACCTTACAAATCATAGTTCCTTTTGACTGGTATCATTATAACTTTTTTTTGTAGCCAGCATGGAGTAGTAAGGTGATTGCAATACCTGTTGAGTGGCACCTTATACCGGTACCTATGTCATTGATGGCTGCATGACAGATGGTAGTAATGTCTCAATACTAGTTGCAAATAAATATTGGGATAAAAAAAATTATAGAAAATTATTTTTGTTTCATGATGAGAATTGCAAATTTTCAATGCAGGCAGTGTTTCATTCCAACCTTTTTTTCTATTATTATTACGTATATAATTTACTAATAATAGTATTACATCATTATGCAAGTTCCCATCTACCTAATAAGAGACCCAGCTTTACCTATAAGATAGCAGAAGCAATCATTTATCTGGCAGCAATTGTATGGCTTCAATGATGGCAAAACAGCCATTCAGGGCGGTGCTCCTATAAATCAACAGCCATTTGCAGCGCAGGCACGATCTTTGTTTAATGATCATGGACTCTTACTTCCACAGAGAGTGGGCACCCCAGCCTTCTCTCCCATCCCACCAAACATCTTTCTGTGTTGTGTGGGAACATTTGTCTGGACCCAGGAGCAGGGCTCTCTGTGTCTCTTCATCCTGGCTCTTCCTCTGCTCTACTAGCTCATAGGCTAGAATTTACTACGCCCGTTTGCGCCTTGGCCATGCGGGCATAGGTGCACACCGGGCCCGCTTTGGGATGGCACAGGACTCAATCTGCTCTATTATGTCACCAGGAGGACACCATCTCGCATTTCATGCTTGCCTGTGCTAGATTTGCAGGTCCTAGAGCAGCCTTTACCACTGCATTAGCTAGCATTGGAGTCCCTTGGAACCTGAACACAGCCTTGGGAGCTGAGATCCCTGCTGCTCAACGCCCTTTAGTATTTTCTTATCTATCACAATTTTTGTTGCAGACTGGCATGGTGAATCTACTGTGATGAAGAGCGATATAAGCATGTAAACATATAAGAAACTAGTACCTTTCCAGAATATCTACCCTGCAACAGGATCGTCTCCAGACACAAGCAGCTTTTGGCGGCGAGACCCACAGCAAGTGTGTGGTCACACAGATAGACTGCATTGGTCCATAGTGTGCTGGGGCAGCAACCTAGTCTAGCAGAGCTCCAAGTCTACTGCTTTGCCTTCTTTTTCTGACAGAGATCAGGCTGGTGGCGCTTTTGTTGCCACAAGTCTTAACCCCAATTATAAAAAAAACAGCCATGTTATAAGTTTCCAGATGCAGAAGCAATGAAGCAGTTGTTTGTAGCTGTTGTGCGCCCAAACGGCCAAACCTAGAGTTTGGAAATGTGGTGTGGTCACTGTGCCTTGAAAAGGACAAAAATCAATGAAGATTGTTCTAAGATGTGCAATAAAGAAAAGTCCATGCTTGAAGGGCAAGTCATATGAAGAAAGATTAAAGATTATGAAGCTTCCAAGCCTCTATTATCAACGTCCACATGGGGACCTTATCAATGTATACAGTACAAATATGCTCATGGTTTATACAAGGTCCCACCATCCCAGGATTATATACAAGAATTTAGAACAAGAACCAGCATGACCTATAAATTTAGTTATAATCCTATGTAATTGAGGAGCGCGATGGCAAAAAACAGGAGCGCACTTGCTCCAATAGGAGCTTGATAGCCATGCACTCCAATACAAGGTGGTTGCAGTGGTTGGCACTTGGCAGGAGCGTGTGCCTGTCTCCAATATGAGCAGACTGGCATCTGACAGCAGCTGCTGTGGCAATGCGCTTGTCATGCTGCAATATAAGCAGGACAGCCTATGCAATAGGAGCAGGAAAAGTGCATTTCCATACTCCAGCACCCAAATAACTGCCATTTCCTTAAGAAAAAAGTGTCCCATCCTTGACAAATAGCACTCTGAAAGGGCATTCAAATTGCACCCCCCCCCCTCAAGTGAGCAGTACTGGAGCAGTGGAGTCTAGTCAGAGCGCTCCCACCATCCTGGTGGATCTAAATGTAAAATGTCCAGCCATTTACTAGAATTCCAACAAGCACAATATTATTGAGCAGTATGACTGGCAGTGGCACTCTGGCTGTCTGGCAGCAGGCAGCCTGTGCTAATTAATGGCCCATGCATCATTTAGCTTTGTAGATAAATTTGGTTTGTAATAAACATTTTATGATTTTATAAGTGAAAAAATTGCCAAGGAATATTTGCATAACTTATTTTGGACTTATCAGAGAATAGAGATTAATATCACTTACATCAGTTAGTCACCTCCTATAATTACAGGCAGCCTGGGCCCTGGGTTGGCCAATTCATTATTCAGGCCCAATTGTATAAATTGAATAGGCTAATTCTTTTCTTTAATTGGAATTTATGGGAGCCTCTGAAGACTGGTTCAATGCAGCCCCATGTCAGAACAGTTCAAGGAATTTGACTGAATTTTGTTTTCAGGCACAAAAAAGGGTGTCTCAGAAAAAATACTCAAGATTTCTCAATGGCTGAAGGGCTACAGAACGGGCCACCAGAGTGGAGACCACACCGGGGCAGAGAGCACCACTCCAGGGCAGAAAGCCCCACTCCAGGGCAGATAGCCCCACTCCAGGGCAGATAGCCCCACTCCAGGGCAGATAGCCCCACTCCAGGGCAGAAAGTCGGGGACACTAACCACACATGGAGGCATCTTAAAATCTTTGTAACGAATTTTGCAGTTAGATGCTGGGAGCATTTATAGGTGTTCTTCGGGAGTTAAACTTCACTTTAGCTGATCGTACCATAGTGGCAAAGCAGAGAGTTTTTTAGACTCTCCCTCAAGTTCATTTTAGAGTCCTATAAGTAGACCAGTAAACTGAGTAAAGTATCATGGATACCAGCATTATCTTACATAAGGAATTGGTTTAAGTCTTGAGTCAATGAGGAAATTAAAAATGAACTGATTCTAAAAAATCTCTGGTTTGTCACTATGGATCGTACCATTCGCCGGCTTAACGCCTCGGAGCGGGACAGCACGGCATTTTCAAAGTTTGAGAAAGATAGTTCAGAAAGATGACATAGCAGCCGGCCAAAGCCGGCTACTGTCACAGGAGCTCAGCACGAAGAACCTCTTGCCTCAATGGTTAGACCAGAACCCCAAATAGGCTAATTGAGGATTTGAGTCATTTGAGTGAAACTATGCAAGTGAATTAAATCACAACAGTACTGGCATTATCAGGCATTATCCATTGTGGCATTATCATGGGATTCATGGCAATGACTCAATGAGGGCACGCATAGCTAACGGCATAGGCTAAGTCATGCATGCCACATGAAATGGATTCAATTAGGGCTAAGAATGAGACTGAGAGCTGTATAAAGACTTTTATTAAAGAGAAAGAGCAGGGACGCTTGACACAAAAGTTTTGGAATTCTCAGCAGGACTGCAGCAGCAGTGTTCATAGTTTTCTATACTTATGTTTGTTCTGAACTTTCATGACGCACTGTCACGCACATACGGTAAATTCTGCGCAGCTGTTGAGTGTTGACTGCCACTTGCCGGCGGGGCGGCGGCCCGGCAGTGGACGTTGAAGTCATAAGTTAGGAATATCTTAATGGCTTTCGATTTTGTTTAAAAATTTCAAGCGTGGTTAATTTTATAATCAGTCAAATGAATCTTCATATTCAACAAATAAAAACATTTGCACGGGTTGTTTCATGAATCATGATAGCCTTGATGATTGGCTCGCTCACTCTCACGCATCGTCTCCATCCACTCATCACGGTGTTCACTAACAGACAGACATGCATTTTGCTTTTACGCGTGTAGTGTAGAGCTGTCGTGAGTTGGCCTTTGTGTCCGCTGAGACTCAAATTACTGAAGTCAGACGTCAGTGAACCCAGCGTGTAGTGGAGTCAGTGGACATCCCGAATTTCCAAAAAGAAGGAGACGTCTGTGAACTGAGTGAACAGTGCAGTGAAGCATGTGTTGTAGTCTGTAGAAGTGTAGACTTGAAAAGTTGCCGTGAATTGCAGCATTGCGATTTACGAGTCGATCGGATTTCTGTGATCTGCCACTTTAAGATAGGGCCTAATAACTATCAAATTCAACAGTTGAACTTGATTGTGATGATTCAACGGTTTATGATTCAATATTCGATTTTTTACTGAGTTTTTTGGAAGGGCTAGGAAGTAGGAATGCTAGATTGAAAGTTGGCCCGTAATTTTCGATGTAGGCCAGCCTGGCCAGACAGGCCAGCTGACTTGTGTTTATCCAGCAGTAGCTGCAGGCCCTGAGGCCTGCAGACCTCTGCACTCAGCAGTCACTGACTGCTGAGTGGCAAACCAGAGCTTTTTAGGAATCAGTTCATTTTTAATTTCCTCAATAACTCAAGATTTAAACCAATTTCTTAAGTCTGATAATGCTCGTATCCATGATACTTTACTGGTCTACCTATAGGACTCAAAAATGAACTTGAGGCCATGGCCAGTCAGCAGTACTGCAGTAGGCCTATAGGCTATATATAATAATATATCTCACCCTACCATCTTTATGATGAAATAGATAGTAAATTTGGAATATAAAATATACCTAATCACCTAAATTTCAACCTTGATTGGTCTGAGCCTCTGAGGGTCTCATAAATTTTAGTCATATATCTGATATCATATATAGGTATACATACTAGTGATACTACTGTCAAAAAGAATAATAAGGGGAGGGCGGGGTAAATCAGGACAGTCCTCTAGGCTCTAGCCTAACTAGGCTCTAAGTTCCAACATTTTGTAGAACTGTTGTAGCAATTAAACTCATAGTGGCAAACCAGAGCTTTCTTAGAATCAGTTCATTTTTAATTTCCTTATTTACTTAAGATTCAAACCAATTTTTTAAGTATGATAATGATGGTATCACGGATACTTTAATGGTCTGCATATAGGACTCAAAAATGAACTTGAGGGAGAGTCTAAAAAACTCTCTGCTTTGCCACTATGATTAAACTTATTGGAATATTGCAAAACTGGTCTGAAAATAGTGGCATAGAGTTCAACATTTTTCCTATCTAGTATTATATACTACTTATATAGCATAGGCTAAACATAAAGCAAGTAGGTAGGGAAATCATGCATTTACTACCTAGACTCCTAGAGTCCTAGTACTACCTACCTCTAAAAAATCCTTGAAAAAAGTGAGATTTTGGAAGACTATGCTAAGGCCTAATGGGTAATAGCTACCTAAGGCTAACTGGTCTATAGCAAAAAAATATTTGACATTTAAAAAATTTTACTTGCATAAAAGTTGCACACATGGGTTATCTGTGTAGCTGTGTTGGCTCAAAAACATGACTTAGATATGGAATTTGCGTAGCTCATCCCCAGAAAAATGGCGGCCATTTCCGCAAGACGGGGTAATAAGGGAGTTAAAGGGACCCTAGGCAGTAGGCTGGACACCCCCCCGCTCCCCAGGGTTATAACTCAAGAGACAAGAGACACCCATAGAAATGCATTAACAGTAGCAGGAAATCCAGGCATGTAATATATGTCTACTTGGTGAGCCGCAACTGAATTTTGGAGCTGTGAGTTAGCCCGCTTGCAAACCGTGAAAATGTACTTCCTGCACCACTGCACATGAGTTGCTTATTGCAGCTGTTAAATCACATTTGCGAAAATTGTGGAGTTTTTTTACTAACCTTACTTTATAAGGATGCAATATTGATCATGTTAAAAAGATGCTACTTGACAAGAATCTAGAATCAATCTACAAACTTGATTATGTTTGCTCTGTGTCTGTGTTACTAGCAGGCAACAGCATAAAAGGAATGCACTAATTTGGAAAGGTCATTTGCCACTAAGACATACCCGTAATTAACATAATTAACGTAACCAAAGTTATAAACATTGTGTTAAGCTAATTTGGTTTAAGTCAAGTTATGGCCAACAAAGCACCATATTCAAGCATATAAGAGTAATAACATAAATAATAATTGCAATAAAACCCAGGGAGTGCAAATAATCCCTTAGATGCAGTTAAAAAACCTCACCTTCTTGAGGTCAAGCAGCAGAACTTGGATAATGCTTGCAACTTCCAACTTGCAAGTACTGATGTCAGGACTAAAATTTCAAAATGAGAAAACATTGTAGAAGTACTAGTAGAACAGTCATATTCTAGCACAGGATTAAAAGCTTCAACAGAATGACCTCTAATGGTTATTTTTTTGGCAACAACTAATTTTTCTCATTAATTCTAGCTTCCAGAAATTCGTAACATATAGTTAATTCCGTAGTAGAATCACAGTCATCCTTGTTCATGGATTAAAAATTCTTACATTGTAAATAAACAATTTCGTTTGCCACAAGCAATTTACACACTTATCTTAAATGCTTTACTTGAAATCATCAGCTTTCAACAGAAATGTATTGTTGACCTGCTTGTTTTTGAGCTGGTGTAAAACCTTGCTCACTTTCAAGAAGTGAGATTTGTTTTTAGTGTCCATATGAATTAAGGGGGGGGGCATGGAGGAATTCCAAGCAGTAAAGTGGCGACTGTCTACATGGTTGTAGGATACCTATGTGGCACAGAATAGCACCAGTCAATTATACTTCTTGCCTCCAATGTCTCATTTGACATGGTACCACCCTTCTGCTGGGTGTTCATAATAGAGTAGAATGATTCAACCATGGCTTAACACCCACCCATGGACAGACTTAACAGTCAGGACTTTGCAGAGGCTGATTAACCAGCTACAGATTTTGTGGAAATTGGCCAGATCTATTTTAGGCACCATTATGATTATTAGTATATTATTATATGTTAAAAGGGGTTTAAAATGAAAATTTCTCAAGTGTCAGTGCTTGACAAGCCTTCCAACATCTAGCCTTTCAAGTGTTGCACATTATTTATAGGTTTAAAATAGTTCAAAGACTTGCAATTCCAGGCTTTAAAGGCAAGTCTTATAGTTATGGAGGAAGATTAAAGATCATGAAGCTTTCAAGCCTTTGCAATTGACATCTGCATGGTGACTTTATTGAAGTATAGGTACAAGTATACGGTACTCATGCTTTATACAAGGTCTTAGAAGGATTACTAGAATTTTAACAAGTGCAAATACCACAGGTCACTGTTAAAAGCTGAAAAAACTGCAGTGCAATTCATCCATGGGAAAACATTTTTTTTGTATTGAGAGTCAATGACATGTGGAAGTTTCCCTGTATTATTGAAGCTCCGAGTATGAATGTGGTCAAGAATAAACTAGACAATTCTATGCAAAAGTATTTGTTCAGTCTTGAAATGCCTAGCCCTCTATGGAACTAGTAAAAAGTCCTGTGATGATGTAAACCAATATTAGTTGAAGGATCTTGTCAAAAAGCCACTTTTTACATCTGCGAACAAGTCCCAATAACTACCTACATGAATTAGCTACTGGCCTAAACAGACCTCTTTCTTCAATGCCAAAGATGCCAATTCTATTACCCTTATAAGGTATGACTGATAGGATGGCAGTAACAGGCAGTTACTGAGTTTACTGGTGCATAGGTATGTAGTAAATGTGATTTCACCTGGGAGCAGACATTAAAGAGCAAGGTTGTTGAACACAATAATTTATAGATCACTAACATTTCACACAGGCTATTGTCATGGATAAATAACAAAATAGACAATCCTAGGAAATTATTAAATGGTAAAATTGCTAGAGACCACAATTCAATTTATTAAAAGACATGCTATTTTGTGTGGACAAAGTTTGAGTGTGACTCATCATCAGTACTCATAAATTTGCATCTTTGAATTTTGTAATGTTTGACTGAATAAAAATACAAATTAACTTAGTAAAAGTACAAATAAAATAAAATTAATGAAAGAATAGTGGCTTTGGCATGATTGATTATTTATAGTTAGCACCTAAAAAATATTAAAAAAATAATTCCTTATCTTCAATTTTCAGCACAAAATTCTGTATAACTGACATTTCATTCAAGTAGCACCATCATCATGGTTCAACACGCTGCAGATGCAAACTTGCTGAGCCTTAGAGGTTTGTAAGTTGTCTATCTATTGTCTCTCTTGTTTGTATATGCTGTTCTTGCTCCTGTTTCTTTCTTTGTTTATTCAATTATTTGATATTTTGTAGTATATTTGCATCACAATGGCACAAAACTGAAACTTTCTGCTTAATTGCCAATAAGCTTTTTCTTTCTAATTAAATTGGTAGTATAACTGCCAATTATGACCATATATTAATTATATGATTTTACTTGTACATAAATATAGTTGTGATGATAATTTTATATGAGCTTGTTATTTTTATATTTGTATTTTAATTTTTTCCTAATACTTTTATTTATTTATTCTTTACTATTCCTAAAAATGTATATTTCAGTGCTGAGGGTTGCCCATGAAGCTCGTATGTGCCATGGGTTGCGCCACAAGGACTATCAGATGTACAGGCAATACTGCAGCCGCCGCATCAGGAGGCTGCGTAAGAGGTTTGACATCAGACAAGGGGAAAAGAAGTACAGAAAACGTGAACTTCAACCTGCCGCAATCAAAGAGGAGAAGTAAGTTGTAAGTTAATCAATCAAATGGTACGTATTTTTATAAGGTTTTCTGCTCAAAAAATTGTGAAACTTTCCAAAATTGTTAGTGCAAATTAGTAATTTTCCAGTGACTTTGCAATTTTTGTGATTTTCTGAGTCACATCTTTTTGAATTTCTTTGCTTACTGAAATTATTTGAAGATAAATTGTGCTGAGTCCTCAAAATTTTTGTTTTAGTGAGATTTAAGCAAATTTTTCCTGGAATAAATTGGTAGAATAATACTTTAGTTTGAAAATTTCTTTATTGCTTGTTAAGGTACCGGTAATGCTATTTTCATTTATGGCCTTGGTTGTCATTCAACACTCAATTTTCATTTTTATTTCTAACAAAGCATTTATTGCAGACATAATTTAAATGTCTTAACTTAATTCTCTATTGCAGAATGTTAGAGCTGCCTTTGCTGATGGCTGAGCGCTACTGGGCATACGCCATGCAATTGAAGGAGGAAAGCATGCAGGATCCAAGGAAGAAATTTGCTCTCAGAAACAAGCTTAGGAAAGCTGCCACCTACAGTGTCAATTTTGAAAAAATTGTCGAGGTACAGTACGTTTTTGCTAAAGTGAGAAATTTTGATTGTTAAATTATAGAAAATTCCATTAATATTCATAATTCATATTCATAATTCTATTAATATTCCATTATTAAGGCATGTGGGAAGTGTGATGCTCGCACCCAGCTGGAGGTGCAAGGATACAGTGCGTGGCTGCAGGGCACCGTGCTGTTCGAGCTGGCTGAGTGGACTCAGCAATGGGATGCTCCTGTGGTTTTCTTCAACAAAGCCATGTAAGCAACCATAACTTTTATCTTTTGTCCAACATTGAACTAGAGTTCAGGGATATCTGGTGCTCCTCTTCTCCATTTCTTAGGTTTTTCACATTCAAATGTGTGGTCTAGATACTAGTTGTACTGTAGCTTTGAAGTTCAATTTTTGAATGGAAATTGTTTATCAAATGACAACATTTCAAATAAAAATTTCATTTAATTTCATCTGTTCATCATCACTTTGTTTTTCATGCAATCCCTATTTTTTGTGGTTAACTGATTCAAATTTCAGTGCCATTTACTCAAAGTTGAGTGAAGCAGTGACGGAAGAAGAGGCGGGCATCATTAAAGCGCTGGTGTCAGAAGTGGAAGTGCAGCTACGTTATTGTCGCCACCACCTTGGAGACAAGGCTGCTACCTCATCCCTTCTCGCCATGACTGACGACACTGCTCTTGGCGAGAAGCTTGATGTTTGTATTACTTCAGCATCAGGCAAACTGTCTAATAAGTTACCATGACAAATAGCTCCATGTTTGGGTTTGTTCGCTTAATGTTTTCTTTTGCTGTCAAGAGTCATAAATTTTGTTATTAATTGTCAGAGATCGTTTTCCTGTAGGTAGCAATTTGCGAGAAGCTGGATGTCTGGATTTATAGCCGGCATTTAATTCTTCGCTTCATAGCAGACAAGTAATTGAACAAAATCATGGCATCAGGATTTGGTTTTTGATATGCAATCCAATATTTTATGACATGTTTTACTTGTTCAGGTGCTGGTGTCGCAGGCTCGTGAGAAGCAGGCAGCTACTCTAAGTGAGGTCACTTGGCGCGGCCGTACGCTTTCTGTGAAGCAGGAAAAGGTCCGTTCATCTTCCTACTCATTTTGAACTCAGTATATCGTTCCAATGTCGTAGTACCTACCTAAGATAATTTCACGTGTAGATGTATCATTTTGTTTTTAATCTTTTCTATTTTCAATTCTGCTATCAGGCGGAGATTAGAAAATGTCAATATAACTAAACTAAACAGTACAATGATACTTCTATCACAAGATAAAAACTTCCTAGCCATTGTTTGATTTTCTTTTATAAATGAGATGCTACATGGCATAACACAAGGCAGAGTATTCATTTCCACGCATGGTAATGTTGTATATACTGGGACTGTAATGAATTCCGCCGTGCAGGTCCGCTTGTTCTTGCTGAAAGAGAGCGAGAGTGCAGGCCGCGCCCGTTATGGCGACCGCTTCAACCAGCTGGACAAGCTGCTGATGGAGTGTAAGGACGCCATCGCGCTCGTCAGAGATGACCTAAACAATGACCCAGTTAGTTATTCGGAGCATCTCATTTTACTTTACTATGTGCTTTATATAATAATAATAAGACTTCGAACCTTATAGAGATCAATGGTTTTATATGATGCTACCTGCATGTTGTCCTCGAATATTTTAATGCTGCCACATTTTCAGCAAAGAAAATATTTGTATGAAACCTATTTAAAAGCATTATATTTTTTCAATGTCTGTTTGCAAATCTGCAATAATATTACAGACATTCAAGACTCGTCAAGCTGCCAACAGCGGTCCAGTGTCGAGCGGCCATTTTCTGTACTCGTATCTGTGCTACCTGCGACTGCGTCTCACTCTCGCCCGCAACGTGGCGCTACTGACGCAGTACTCCGCCATAATCGCCGGCAAAACTTCCGTCAGTTTTTAGATAAATACCTAAAAGTTTTATCATAGGGGCCGTTTTATTTATATATATATAGCAGATAGACGGCCTTTATCATGAAGTTATAACTTGTATCATTCAGTTTTGTTGCAAGTTATAGAAAATATACTAATACTTTACAAGGAAATGATGTCAATTGAGTAACTGTATTTCGTTAGCAGCATGACACATATAAATAAAACTCTTAGATATGACAGTTCTCTTGAAAAATAATTACATTCAAATTGAAATTTACCGTATGTCTAAGCAAGCAGCAATGACTAGGTTATCCTCAATGTGAATTGAATCGGAATTGAGACAAACAAATTTTGATTGTCTGTTGGGAATGACATTGCATCCTCACCCAACATTGACTTAATATTTTGCCATGAGAGAAATGAGTGTCTGAACATGGATTATGTTGAATTTTAATTGGGATATAATTTGGCGTGCGCGCCATATATGAAAATCGTTTGTAGCATATTTATTCATGTTTAAAATTACATGGTCGTACTGCAATGTGTGCTTAGAATAAAATAGGCGTTTATGGTTTTTAAGAATCTTCCTGCAAATGGAAAAAATTAAATCAGTACTCACAGCAGTGAGTGACAGAGAGCGCATTTTCTCGTGCGTGAAGTCACGTACGGACGGACATGACAAGCACAATAGCGCCTTTTTTCCATAAATGAGAAAATGCGCTAAAAACAGCTTGTCCAGAATTCACTTTGGAACTTTGTTTCTATGTGATATAATTTCGGAATAATACTGGAACTAAAAATCATAAAATAATGATCTAATTTTTATTTTTAGGCTGCTAAAGGTTCGAAGGTGCCCCGAGACCAGGATGTGGTGCGTCTCTGCGATCTCTCCATGCAGAACCTCAACGAGATGTGCCAGCTTGCCGGTCTAGAGGACGATCTTGAGCTCAAGCAAGAAAACGACTCGAAAATTGCCTACTTCAAGGCACTCAGGTGAAGATTAAGGACCAGTAATTAAATAAACCTCAGACTTCTTTTGACATTACTGCATTTTAATGCTTGACAATTTTTACCTCTAACAAAGTGATGCATAATGATGTGATATCAATACAATGATTGCTGGTGACAGGAAACGTTTCCATCTGCTAGCGGATTGTAATAAATAAAATATTAAATAAATTACACACATTCAAGTTGCTGCCAGTAAGCGATTTCATTTAAGAAAGGGAAATAGTTTTGTGAATCAAGTAAAATAAAGCTAATTTCTAAAATCTGTAGGTGCTTCCACGTCGCCGAGAGCTACGCGAAGCAAGAGAAGTGGGTGGAGGCGATGACGCTGTATAAGCGTGCGGAGGAGCGCATCGCTCAGGCCAAGAGTCAGCCCAACCTGCAGGTGCGCTTGTCTTCTTAGGTGGGCTTTTAGTAAGTGGCATTTGGCTCGATTTATCTGAAGCTGAAGCCCGCGTTATCCCTAACGGTACAGAAACCCTAGCAGTATTCAAATGTAGCTTCATAAGTTAACATAAATTATAAGGTGCAGTCTCATGAAATTCTTTATTTTATATTTACCTGCGCATTTGCATAAAATTGCAATATTTTATTCACGTAAGTGAAGAACTTTGAAGAGTTTTAATAGTAAAAGTTTCTAGTTTTATATAAAAAAGTACAGATGTTACTTATTACTGAACCAAAAGGTGCTTGCGTTGAATTTGGTATTTCTCGTGATTGAAGGTCATCACGAAATAGAAATTATTGAAAAATCATCAATGCTTATGTATTGCTTATTAAGTATGATTGTAATTTACAGAGCAGCGATGAGGCGTCGCTGGAGGCGCTAGCTGAGCAGCTGGCTGGGCTGAGCGTGACTGTGAAGGCCCGGGCGCTGCTGCCCTCTACCTCCACTACGCCGCACCCCAGCCCCTCCCAGGCCATCAAGAAGGTTAAAAAAATATTGCTGAACTTTTCATCATTGTTATATTTCATTTTATTTTTTATGTTATAGCATTTAAAACGACTTTTATCTCTGATTTTTTTCTAAGCTAAAGATCTTTGGTAGCTTTACAACGAACCTCCCTTGTTGTTTCTATGCCTCAATTGCAAACTAATTTTGTAATAAATAGAAAAATGAAATGTCTTATATTTTCATAATAGGACTTCTTCCAATTTACCAAACAACACCTGACACTGTGCAGCCGCTGTCTGAACGCATGGACGAGTATTTGGAGGACCAGTGTCTGCTGAACCACACAAACCCTCGTGTGCTGCCCATGCCGCCGTCCCTCTCAGCCGTGCCATGCAAGCCGCTCTTCTTCGACCTCGCCCTCAGCCACGTGGCTTTCCCGTCGCTTGAAAAATGCGTGCCAACTCCTGAGCAACCGTCGCCGGCACAGCAGAAGGCAGCACAGCAGCCTGGGGGCCTGTCCAGCATTGTCAAAGGGCTCTGGGGATGGGGGTCTAAGAAGTAGGATATTAACTTAATTGTTTAACATTGCTTGATTTAGTGTTCTTTAAAAACTTGTTTTTTTTTTTACTAATTTAAAGCGATTTTTGGATGGTTTCAAATAGGTATCACTTATATCTCTTGCACTAAATAAAGAGTGTGTGCACCGGCAGGACCAATAATTCAGTATTTAGTTTGGCAGTCATACGGACTGTCGTAATAATGGTTCAACTAATTATGTATCATGTTGGGGCAGCAGTTCCCATTGCGTAAACGTAATTCTTTTCAGTCCCAATAATAATTTAACCTTCGATAGTTTGATTCACTATATCAAAAAGTTCTTTTCACTCAATGTGCCAGCTTACGTTATTTGTTGTGGTTTGTTCCACTTGTTGGCTTTCTTTCCCTTTGCGTTTTGAAAAAGTGAATGAAATTTTTTGTTCTTATTTGATCTTTGGAAATTATCGGTGTTCTAGAAATGTGTGAGAACAACATTTTGAGATGTTAAATACCTGTGAGCACACATTGAGCACTTTCTTTTCTATGTTTATAGATCGATTACATTTTGAATTCATGGTTTCCTTCTTGTTTTGTGGGTGTTCTGGTGTACGGTATGTAGTATTTTGCTCCAATTTTATTTCTTGTTTTTGTACTTTTTATTCATAAATTGTATTTTATATGAAGTGCAACGGGAGTTATTTTATTATCCAATATACAGCACATATAGTTACCAATATATTCCACACCAAAATTCCAAACTTGCCGCGAGATAACCTACCATTTATCCAACCGCGAGGACGCAGCTTCTGTGAAGGGCCTCACGACCCCTCGGTTCCTTACGTGTCCTTCGAAATCTCTTGTTCGTCTTCTTTAAGAAAGTTGCCTTTTTCTTCAAATGCCTTCTAATCATCACGGATATTAATGAAGTAACCAGTAACCGCGAAAAGCTCTTAACCAAGCTGTTTTGCTTTGTTTAATGAATGACACTGGCATCTAAATTGACTGAGATCTTATTTTTTTGTATGTTTTACTGCAGATACTAATGTATTTTCTCCAGTGCTAGGGGCAAAGTTGGCTTTGATAAATTTGTGTTTAAGGGCACAAGTTAAGACATTTTAGGCTCTTAAAAGCCATGTCGCCCGCTCCTGACCTAGCCAGCCACATCAGAGAACAACGCCGTCGCCGCCAAATTGAAGAAGCGAGCGATGATGAGACGGAGTTCGTCCCGCCGGCTGCCGGTGAGGCAGATTCCATACCGCCCCTGCCTGCACCACCCCTTAATATTGAGGGGGCTTGGGCTGCCGTGGGCTTTGCAGTCGTGCTGATTGTAGTCGGGTTGCCAGTGTGGTGGCGGACTACCACCGTGTACCGTGCACCGCTGCCTTACAGCGCCGTGGAGGAACTGTCAGGACTTAGGCGGTTACACTTCGTACCCATAACCGTGATGGCTGAGCGGCCTGCCGACGGGAAGGTTTTTGCTGCCGCGCTGCAGAAGGAACTCAAGAAGCCTAGTGAGTTGGAAATCCTGTAAGCATTTCTTCCATTATTTTTATTGCCTGACCCTCATACTATTACCTATTCTGCGTTGTTTTCATTTGATTCTTATATAAATTTCTGTGAATTAGCCTTGAGTTTTGCCGTTCTGACGCAGGCCAGGCGCAATACCGGGTGCGTTCGCGAGGGCTTCAGAAGCCACAGGGAGACGCTGTGCGCCAGGCGTCCACACTGCAGGGTTTGGTGGCGGCGGTGCAGCAGAACACCGTAATGCACAGTGGGACGCTCACTCTTCTCCTGCTCAGCAGCGACGCTCTGCTGCAGCACAAGCAGCTTCACGTCACCACCAAAAACATGCTCGTCGTTGCGCCGAATGCTGGTGAGATGTGTTCAATGTTGCTTGGGTGAAGATCTTCAACTTGTGTGTTGAAATCCAAACAGAGAGTATGGATCGGAAAATAACATAGTTTTCTGATTAGGCTGATACCAAGGCACGTGTAATGTCAAGTGATAAGTTGATGAGTGAAAATATTTTCCTGATTCTCAGATCGGGCCAGGAGACCACCGTAGAAAATGGTTTAGAATGAGCATTTACAACATGCATAGCCTCAACTTTCAAGTCTTTGATCGCATTGCAAGCTTTAATTACCTTAAATTTCTTAGCCTAGTGCTGATATTGTCTAATACTAAGAGATTGTCTTTAATTATATCATCTTGAAACCAAAGTACAACTAGTTCTTTGATTCAACTTACTACCGCTCAGCCATCACGGTTATAGATACGAAGTGTAACCGTCTAAACCCCGACAGTTCCTCCTTCATACTTTTGTTGAACACTTTCTGTTTCAACTCGTGGGCTGTAGAGTTTGTACACTACTCTATATTCTTAGTGCTTGAGATTTTTGCCTTGCAGATTTACAGTTTCATAGACACTAATTTTGTGTTAGCAATTACAGCAGTGTATCCTAGAATATGTAATTATTTTAAGTTCTATTGATAAATAAATGCCTTCTGAGCAGACGTGTCACTCGTGGCTTCGGTGGTGCGTGCGATGTCATTGGAGGCAAACAGCGAGCACCAGCAGTCCTTGGCTGTTGAAGACTCCGCTCAGCGCTTCCCTGGTCCTCCTCCTCACAAGGTCTCCATGAGTCACTTGCTCATTAAATATTCCCCAGCCTCCTCACAAGGTCTCCACGAGTCAATTGCTCATTAAATATTACCCAGACTCCTCCTCACAAGGTCTTCATGAGTCACTTGCTCATTAATATTCCCCAGCCTCCTCCTCACAAGGGTTCCTTGAGCCACTTGCTCATTAAATATTCACCAGCACCCAACATCATTTTGATATTAAATTAATTCTTTTCAAATTCTGTCAATTTTTCATCATGAAGAACACGTGTTCTTCTACAATACATTTGTTATGCTCTCTTCCCCCCAAAAATAGAGAGAACTTGCATGAAACTAACTTCACAACGCTGGTATGTAACATTCAAATCTCTGACTTTCTTAGTTTCAAAGTCGCTCGTATTGGCACCACATAAAATCATAGAGAATAAGATAAATAAACAGCTAGACGGTGTTGGCCTGTGTTCAATTTTAATAAAGAGCAAACGGGCGCGTTTAAAACAGACTGACACAAAAGCAACCGTTGTTACGTCGTTTAAAATTAATGATGGAAAAAGTAACAGGGCATCTTAACTAACAAGTAATCAAGTAAAATCTCATAATTTTTAGCACGTACAATATTTGGTAAAGTGCGATTCCGGCATTTAAGCGATTTAATAATTCCGGCATTTAAAAGTTAATCAATTACAGGTAGGGTAACCATACATGATTTTCGTGCAGGTAGTAAGCGAGCCTCGCTACAGCCTCACCCTGACACTCATGCTGCCCGAGCCCCACGCCTATCGCGCCCAGTGGCAGCCCTCGGCTGCAATCCAAGGTAGTTTCTGCTTATTTCTTCCTCTTCGAAATAGTACATTAGTTTATTTCTTTCATCCAAGGTATTTTCTGCTTATTTCTTCGTATATTAAGTAGTATATTAGTTTATTTCTTTCAATTTCGAGGTAGTTTATGCTTATTTCTTCCTGTTTGAAATAGTACATTAGTTTATTTCTTTCATCCAAAGTAGTTTCTGCTTATTTTTTCCTGTTCGAAATAATACATTAGTTTATTTGTTTCATCCAAGGTATTTTCTGTTTATTTCTTCCTGTTTGAAGTACATTAGTTTATTTCTTTCAATTCCGAGGTAGCTTCTATTCATTTTCCGCTGTTCGAAGTAGTATATTAGTTTGTATCTTTCAATTCTGCGGTAGCTTCTCCATCTGTTTTGTTAGCTGTGTTTCCAGATCGAAGTTAATTAGCATGTATATATACAATAGTCGCTATTGACTTATCACTGACCAACGGTGGCAGTCGTCAGCGACAAATTAATTAATTAGTCAAACCTTATTTCGCAGCATACCTGACGCCGCTGTTGGAGCAGCTGAAGAAAATTCAGCTGGATGTGAGTGTGCGCAGCCAGCAGCTGTACATGACGCCGCTGTCAGGCATCAAGCCACAGTGGCAGCAGCAGCTTCAGGTTCACGCTCTCCCTCACCACCAGCTGCCTTTGTCCATCAACGGGATCGAAGCTAAGCTCGGTCAGAACTTCTACACTTAGAAAATTTAAATTAAATTATTTTTTACTTCTTGTTTTTGTACGTATGTTGATTGAAACTATTGCTCAAAATGTATTTTTATTATTATAAAAGTTTCTCAAATTTAACAAGATGTAGAAGTACTCTTATCTGCTCCTGAAACCTTCCTTTTTAGCGCATTTTCTCATTTATGGAAAAAGTGCACTATTGTGCTACCCATGTCCGTCTGTCTGTCTGTCCGCCCGTCCGTGACCTCAAGTTTTTGTCGACGAGAAAATGCGCTCTCTGTCACTCACTGCAGTGAGTACTGAGTTATATTGTTATGCATTTACTCTTCAAAAACATCTTTCCATTTGGGAGAATATCTTTTCATGGATTTAATTCGACCTCACGATTTTCTCTAAATGTTGTTTTAGAAACGATTTGTTTCACATATTAACTTCTTACATTGAATTCCACGTAATTTTTATTTATCTCTCATCGTTCGCTCATCAACCAGTATCTCTATTGCATCCTAAATCCTGCCCACCCCATATTTTACGAGGTTGGCTTGTTTTGTAGCTTCTGTTATTGCTCCGTGCACAGTTGGGTAATTGCTGAAATTTGCTTGCAGGTTCATACGTTTCAACAGACCCCGCTCTTCACTTCATCATTTACGTCCCACCACGTGAGCACAGCCCACTGCAAATCCTCACTCCTGAAGGCTCCCCTCTAGAATCAAACAGGTGCTTTTTTATTCCACTGTTTTAATCCTGTTATGATGAAGCATATCCTCTTAATATTCAGACTTATGAGTTGTAAGCTGAAGTAACCGCTACATATCACATCACACGTCGTGTAATCAATCATGCGCGAACCTTATTGGCTTTATAATCTGCAAGCAAGTGGCAGAGTAAAGTGGGACACGCCAAGAAAGAACCTCTAAATATTTCTAATTTAATTTTTATTTTTTTTTTCAATTTAATTTCACATACAAAAAATTCTAAACATTATCTGATCTTTACTCGGTATAGAGTAACTATTCTTCCTGTCATCATTTAATTCCAAATTTACAGTCGCGTGAACCATTTTAAGCCTCTTTCAATTTATACTGAATTAAGAAAAATCATTTTCTCGGAATTTGATAGTGAGGTCCCGAGGAAAATGCATGGAAACGTGTGTCAAGTTATAATGAACGACCTCCCAAATGAATTGCATTGACGTTGGCTTATTATAAATGCAGGTAAAATTTAAATGGTTTGTACCTTATGGTTGTACCAAACGCAAAATTTAAACTTGTAAACTTAAGACCGAAGTTCAGTCAAGATACTGATATTTCAACTCAAGTCTAGGTTATTTAGCTCGAATTACTCGTTCGATCTCATAATTAACATTATTTAATTAATCTTGAGCCTCACTACTAACTCTATTTTATTCTATCGATCTCTTTCTAACATTTTTACAGTACATTCTGTATTACCAATGGCGTTGAAAAAAGAATTTATTGCGCCTAAGAAATATTTTCAGCTTGACTGATCTTTTATGAATTTGTTGCAGTTTTGTGGTGCCACGGTGGGGTGGTGTAATCATCCACAACGCGCCTGCTCATAACGTCTCAACGCAGCCCGGACCGCCCATCAGCTTTCCTCTCGACACGCACTTCGTCATGACCACAGTATTATCCCAGCTACATGAGCTCCTGCCGCTGCCCCAACTCGTACGCTTCTTCTTGTTTGGGTTTAAACGTGCTATTTTAAATATAAAATAACATTAGGCGTTGAAATTAGCTTTGACTCGTCATCTATTTTTCCTCTAATTCTAAAGCTTACACAGTCACGATTATACTCATAATATGAATTGGGTTTCAAGTATTTATGATTGCCAATTGTGTTCTTATTTTTATTAACTGGGCTAAACGAAATTCATAAAACAGTGCAAGTTTTCCTCATTCTAGGAATCGACAGCTATTTAGGTTAATGTGCATTCCCTTATTTTTTTAGAAAAGCAGTGCTGAAGTGAGCGTGGAGACGATGCAGACACCAGAGCTGACGCAGTGGCAGCTAGACGCCCTTGCACGTGCCAGAGTAACGCAATACTACCAGACCACGGGCACCACCCTCAAGGTGGCGTCTTACTATATATTAAAAAATTAAAAAATTAATTTTTTTAATATACCAAAATCAAATGAGAAATTCATTGTACATCTGTAAGATTTTAGACACTGGATTCTTAGGAAGTGTTATCTTTAAAAAGTAATTTTTAAACGTATATTATTTCCAGCGAAGTTCAAATTAATATGAATTGCATTAAGGTAAAATTTAATGCTTAATAGGATCCACCACCAATTAGTGGATCTACAATTTAATGCGTGAGCGGATCTGTTACAAATCGCACAGTGCATCTCCTACTAAAACCTAATTCACATATGATCGAATAATGTTGGTGAGATATTGTAGATATTTCCTTAGCAATAAAGAATTGACTTTGTTACAATTTTACAGATACGCCATCTACGTACCTCTGTTCTTGCCTGTAAGCATCCCAGTGCTACTCTCCTTCAAGATGCTCATCTCGCTAGCCAAGTTTTACCTCTGGCCTAGAAAATCAGACTTGAAGCAGGACTGAAAGTTCATTTTTAACCCCATTGGCATTGCAGAAATATTCTCATTAATTTGGCATATTCGCACACAGTTATCTACCGTGGAACAGGTTTTAGTAAAATCTGTGCATCTGGTAATTTAGGACTTTTTCTGGTAAGTATACAATTTTTATGAATGAGGCGTTCCTCCCTACGAATAATCTAGTCTTTTCAGCTGTCTGTATGGTATAGGTATGTCAAGCGCATACTTAGCAATGTGATTCTGGAATAATATAAGAACCTTTCAAGCAAATTATTACAATTTCAAACTTCAGGCTTCAACTGGGGGAATTGGTAATGGACACATTGGGGAATTACTAGTAGCTAATGATACAATAAATTATCGTCTAAATTACGTAGTTCACTATGCAATTGCCACCTGGCTTGTGAGAAGTTCGAGAAGCATCGAACTATTGAAATTGAACTATCCTCCTGGAACAGTGGTTCTAAAAAATCAATTGTTTGGAAACAATTTCTTTTCGAGATGAGAATAAACGCCAAAAAATAAAGACTTGCGCACCATTTAGAATGTCCTAGCGCACCAAAAATTGAAAACCACTGTTTCAGAAGCATATTCAATTGAGTGCTGTCACTGATCTCAATTTAGCTTCACAAGCACCATGTGCACGTGAAAGTCGCAATCATTATTATTCTTAGCTGCAAGTTCGTCGTTTGAACTAGAAATAGAGCTTGCTCAACTCGTGAAGCATCTAATGTGAAAAACTTGTTTGTCAGTTGTGTAATTATGTAGATCATTTGATTGGGTACCATACATTAAAAGTCTTTTATAATGAAACTTTAATAAAGTGGAATGACAAGTGAACCTTTTCTTTTCGTACAAATGTGAGCAAGTGACTTATATTATATATCTCAAAGCGAATTTCAATGTGGCAGCATTTCTCTGTGAGAGAAAAACCTTAATTTTTTCCAAGGAACATCTCAGTTCATCTAAAAAACATTGATGTCAAATCAACGACCGTCCAGAATTTTAGTGCAAATTTTGTTGACAAGATGCAAGTATGACCAAATTGCCAAGGCAAAGAGTGCGGCACACCGTCAAAGCTACATAACGAGACACAGTAAGATATATCTGAATTCCATTCCAGTACGTGTGCTCAAACTCGCTTTACTTCTTCTTCTTGGCATAGAGACCGGCGTGGTTGTTCTGGCTCTGGTACTCCTCACTGATGCGATTAATGAAGTACAGCGCCACAATTGAGCACAGGAAGCTGTAACATGAACATTGAAATCACTCAGTACTCCAACTTAACAATATGCATTACACCGCGGCAAGACATTCAATCTATGGTGTAGAAAACTGGTATCACGACTAAGTTTATACCTATACCAGTTATATCGAAGCTTAGACTCAAAAAGCAAGATTAAAAGGGAATTTGGCTCTTTTCAAAGGTACCCAGAGTTGAAAAAAAAACGTATAGTTACAATCGATACCAACAGATTCTTATCAGTCATTAATGCAAGGAGCTTGCATGAGAACTGGTATTATATAAAAAATATCTACCTTCATATTTAAGATAGTGAATTGAGCAATTATCTCACCACACAGTGCCGGAGACTCGATGCACTGTGGCGGCCGCGCCGCAGGCAATAATGAAGCACAGCACAACTTCTGGCAGCTTAGCCTGGAACCCAGCACCAAACAACACTTGCTCCAGGCTGTTGATGCTCTGAGAGAATACTTTAAGGAAATTTTAAACTAAAATGCAATGTCTTTGATCATACATATATGCATAAATTCGTTAAAAAATAAATATTGTACCTTGTGAATTGCACAGAAGCATACTTGATGTTCTCTCTCCTAGATGGGTTTTACAATGTGTTCCAATCAGTTTATGGATAATGAGCATCAAACTATGTACCTATAGTAAAAGCATATGAGTTAGTCATTGTCAGTGGAAAATTTTGAGATGATATTTTATGATGTAACACTGTTGAAAATGGATGCCAATATAAAGGATACAATCAAAAGGAAGACAAAAATCCAAGACGACACATATCCAGCTACGAGTGTGAGCAGCCTTGAAGATCCTAGCTGAGTCTTGTACACCTGAAGACCAGCAAAAAGCATAGTGCAGCACACTGCTGCCAGGCCACTGCTGCTACGACCCTCCAGGCCTGAGATAACAATGAGACAACACAATAACTCCATGAATAATTATAATTTTTACTAAAATATTTATTAGCATATTGCTGTCATGTAGGGCATTCAAATGTTGCAGGAGATTAAGAATGAATTATTAGGTACATCTGTAGTCAATATAGAAACACTGTTTGCTATCAAAAAATTTGAATTAAAATTTTACAATACTGCTTTATATTTATTCAGGCACAGAGGTGTGAGTGGAACACATGGAACACTCATAGTAGTGATATATAAATATAATGGAATAAAAACTGTGCATTATAATCAGGTGGCAATAAAATTAAATCTAAAATTTATTTTTAATGTTCCAATCGTGAAACAATACAGCCTTGGTAAGGCCTAAAGGTTGAAGCATAGTTTCACAAGTGAACCACTTATTTACAAAAAAAGCAGGCAGAAACAAATTGAAAGTTGAAATAAAATGTAAAGCATAGTGGTGGTGTAAACTTGCACTGGCAACCTCTATGTAGTTATTATTAAGCAACACAAGTAGCTAGTTCAACAATCATTTGAAGCAATCCAACAATAGTAAATACTAATGTAGTATCTCATCTTTATGTTAAAATTTTGGGTAAACAGGTCAATGATAGGATTGTATTCTGAAGTGGAAGTGTGATTATACTGCGCAAGTACAAAATGGTGCATCTGTCAACTGCAGATTAAAGGTTCAGTTCAGGTCCCAGGAAGATGGTGCAAATGTTATGTGTTCAAGATGCATTACAGAATCAACGTAAAGAAGAAAGTCATTGAATATATCAAAAAGAGTATTTTTGTCAAATTTTCAATATTAAATCTAAGTTTAGGCAGTTTTTTTGCATATTTAATTATGTCAAAAGGTTTCAATGCCGTGGTACACACTCAACATAAAAACTTAGAAAAATTTGTTAATCAAGTTACTCAAAGTGAACTAATTAAATAAATTACTCTGGATAAATATAGTTTATTGCAATTCCGATACAAGAAGAAATTGATAATCTACTTACAATTTTCACTTTTGAAGCCTCCAAAAAATGGCAAATAAAGAAAATTATTAAGCAGAATCTGTCAAGGTATTACCTTAATAATTAGGATATATTTTTATACCTAACAACAGCAGAGATTTCTTGATCAACAGCTAGTCCATTCTGGAAAATCAAATGGAAGTCACCCACAAATAAGACAAAAGCAAATGTGCTTGTTAGATTGGAATTTTCCTACTTATGAATGAAATTCTGTGGCTCCAGAGTGACAACATTTTTTAACATTTTTACCCATTACAAATCTCCCTGCTAGATTGTACAGTTTGATTAGAAATTAGACAGAAAATAATTCATCTACGGTAGTGGGAATCTTGAGGTTCCAATAATATTGGTCAAGCACTACTGGCAGCTCAAATGGTGCCAGTGGGTTTGCAGACAATTTTACATTTTTTTGGATCTTGCCTATTTATTTCACAAAAAAATGCACATTTTAGCACATGATTCTCTAAAATTGCCTATAAATATTTTTGGTACCATGACTTTGAAAAATTGCTGAAAAAAACAAGGAATTAATAGGTAATTTTAAAAAATGAGCCTTTTTTATTCATCATAAAAAAAGGAAACTGATATAAAAATGGTATATTTGACTGCAAGCACAGGCATTTTTGGTTCATTCATGGGTGGCTTCTGGTCAATTTTACAGAACTTTTCCAGTTTGGATTTTTATCCAATCTTAAATATTGGTCTAAAATTTATAAAGATTGCTCTTTAAAAATATTGTTTTGCAACAATTTCTAAAACTGGCTAACAAAAATATGCCATTTATTGTATTTTGTATGAAAGGAATTAGACAAGGACCGTAAAAGGCAATTTTGCCTCATTCATGGCCCAAATCACAAGTGGCTTTTGCCCAATTTTCCAGAATGGATCTTCATCATTCATACTTCTTGCCTGATTTTTTCATAGAAAATAGTAAAAATTACATTCACACTTTTCAGAAATTATTTGTAGAATGGTATTTGATACAAATGATACAATTTTTGGGAAATTTTGCCTGATATTCCAAATTGGAAACTTATACTTTATATACCGGTACTAATTGAAAAAATATATATTTTAATAAATTGCTGCATCAAGTATTACAAACAACAGAATGTTTCATGAAAATTGACCAACATATTACTCCAAAAGAAATCAATTGGAAAAATATGCATAATTTTGCAGCTTTCTCCAGTCTCATACTGTTATGATCATGTTTCATGCCATGCTAATTTCAAAGTTCAAAATCTGCTTGCATTACCATGAAATTGAAGCCACATAATTCAGTAAATTTGCTCACTCAAGATGTTACTCAAGTTCAAGTTTTTATGCCTTGAAAAATACATTTCGACAAAGTTTGACAAGTATTTATAAATTTCCATTAACACTTAAGTCTCTATCCTCCAGCAGTTTTGAAGTTCTCTTCTTCAACTTAAACATGTAAAAATGCATCCAATAGTATTTTATCATTTAATGAGGCTCTGTGGTTGTCAATACCTATACTTACCCATTTTAATATGATGGAAGTGGATCAATGTAACAGCCAAGACCTAAATGAATAAGTAAAATCAAAAAAGTTTTCTCTACAGGTGACTATGAGGTACACTGCGGTAATGCAAATATCAAGTTGTCAAAGCTATTGCATCTCCTAATTTTTGAGCACCAGCCTTCTTGGGCATAGGTGCTGCAATGAGAAGAGGGTCATGTATCATTTATTGGATCTTGTCAATGGAGCCAGCTTTGAACTGGTATGACACCAGTTCTTTGCTGGGAACTTGTCTCTCAGCAGGGCTGGCCCAGTTCTTTGCAGTGCTGCTCCAAGGGTTGTCTTATTCGGACTATCAGGGAGCATTTTAGTAGAAGATTCACAGTTGTTCACAGTTTTGATTGTGGTGAGGCATTGTGAGGGCTGATGGGGTGCCCATGGGTGGGTCTAGTTGCTCCCAGCAGTCATTGAGCAATGATGATTTGGATTTGAATCGATAGATAAAAGACTTTCATTGCTGAAGGCTAGTATCTGAGCATGGGTGTTTTGGCCTTTTAATTCAGAAAAGTCCCTTCAGTTTGAATAGAGGTTTTGTCCAACTTGGTTGCTGTTCTTTGCTTGATTCCATTTTTGCTTTGCTTGTAGTTCTCCAGCCATCCTTTTTGTATCATGGGAAGTGAAGTTGATAGGCACTGAAGCTGTGAGTCTTCTATCTCTAGTAAAGGGGTTTTTTTCTCATATTTTTTTCCTTCCCTTTAGATGGCTTGCTGTCTGGTAGGCATTGTACAAAGTTGGAATCTTTTTCAGGTTGGAAATTTTGATATTTACTTTCTTGTTGTGGGTTGGGCTCTTAAATTTTCAAGAAAAATATGAGTAGTGCTGGATTTTGTCTTTTCTACTTGTTACAGGCATTTGGATATAGACTGCATTCTCACAAGATTTTGTTTGACTACTCATGGCTTTCTCCTGTGGACTTCACTCATGTGGATGGGCTTTCTCAAGCCCTGCATGATGCCATGAATCAGAAGTGATAAGGAAATATTTTGAGGAGCAAAAAAAAAAATGGGCAAGACCCTTGATGACTGATGTATTAACCAGACCATTAGTTGTCACAAACCTTACCAATATTACAAGATCAATTATATACAAGATCGATGTGGCAATATTTACAAGATCAATGACATCAATGCACTGGGCATGCATAGACACTTTCTTCATGACTACACTGTTTAGCTGAAAGGCTGGATTCATACATATAATGCTGGCCTAAACAGATTCTGATGTGGCATTAGAATAACTGGAGAACATCTGCAATGAAGATGAGGCTTCATTGAATTTTAAAAGTTTAGACTTGCATGCGAATAGCAGACAAATATCTTGTAAGTTTTTATGTTTACACTCCAGGGAAAGGTTGAAGAAAGTCTCATGCCATTACCACCCTCTAGGCTAAAGCAGATGAGAATGATTTGTATCAATCAAGTGGAGAATGTTCAACCTTATGCTTTTTTAACTTACTTGTTTGATTACTCAAGTCATTTGATTTTACACCATAGATTGTTAAAAAAGAAGCATAATTGTTTACCATCCAGATGTCTTATAAAAACGTGTTGGCTAAAAACGAGTAGGCTCATGACAGCAGCTACTGGCCGCTACTCACTATTAACCCCTAGAGTAGGCAGTACTCCTGTACACAAAGCCACTAGCCTGGTATATTACCAGTGATTATTATTACTGACTGTAGTTTAAATCTAAAATAAAAGCAATGCAAAAATTGGCATCAATTCCTAACACAGAGTCTGGCTAATAATTAGAGACATTTTAAATTTCCTACAGATCTCTTCAAAGCTGAGGGACTCATGAGTTGTTCATTTGCATAATTTTTTTCCATTCTGCTTGAGAATGAAATGACTTAGAAATCTAACAATTCCTTGTGCTGCACACTTTTTAACAATAAGTTATGTTTTTAATTTCATTCTGGCTTTTCAAAATTGCTTGCAATGCAAAAGCAATTGGGCAATAGCAAGATGGGCAATAGCATTGTCAATTGACATAGTAACATATGTGAAATGTTGTGAACAGAAAAAATGTTGATCAGATTTTGTCTGAAACAATTTACTATTTTAATTACATATTAGGCAATAACCAGTATGTCTTGTTGTGTCTTGCGGTGTCTTGCTGTTTCATGCTTTAAAGATTAAAAATTCCAGGAAATTAGAAAACTCATATTTCTACCAGGATGTCTTTGTTTTGGTATTGTCCCAGAATTCCACCTGAGTGCAGAAACTTGTCCCAGTTTTTATTGCTAGCCAGAAAAAACCCTGTTGTCTTGTCTCATCTTGAATGGAAGAAAACACCAAATCAGGAGTCAAAAGCATAAGTCTTACTGAATTTGCTTGCTTGACTAGGATGAGATGTGCCAATAATAAAGGTATTTGCACCTCTTTTTGGCTCTCTTCTGTTTGCATGGAGTTTAGGTTGGACACGTAGAGAGTCTGATGGATTTTGGTAGTCTGGTTGGCAGTGGGCATAAGGGCTGTTTTGTGTGAGTGAGAGTAATGTACAGGGCTGAGAGAAAGTAACATACAGTAGCTTGTTTGGTATGCATTGGGTATTCTTGGAGTTTATTTGGAGATCAAGGAGAAGTCAAGATGAGCAAGTGCCTTTACAACAATGGAGTCGGCAAATAAGGCTTGGTCTATATCAAGAAAGTTCTCCACCTTCTCACTGAATTGTAGTGTGGAACTTAGGCATATCATGGCTAACAGTAATTTAGTTAGTGTTTGCAGAAAAACAGCTGTGCATTTTGTTGGTGTGCCAGAGGTTAGACCAAGCTTGCTTGGTGTAGGCAGGTGATGAGGTTATTGGGTGGTTTGAAGCATCAGCTGAGTGTTGGATGTTCAAGGAGGATAGTAGGAGGAATGGTGGGCTTGCTTAAAAGGGTTAAAAGCTTTGGATATGTTAGATAGATCCCATTTCTGGCCAGGTTTGGTGGGAGGTGTCTGCTCCTGCAAAGTGGGTGTGTCCTCAGTATTTGTTTTGGACATAGCAGTTGCAGGCCATGATGGATCACCACCTCTGATTATCACCTTGTCACACCACTCTTGGCAAATGGCATCTTACCCGCTGGTGCATACAGAGAAGCCAAACAGGCTCTCTGCAGGGAGATCGCCTACCGCATTGCAGCAACTGATGCCATAAACGCCGTCCTCACTGCTCCTCCACCGCCAACTGCATTGGTCGAGGCCTCACTTCCATGCCCCTACAGTTCAGCGCTATCCCAGCTCTGCTTGGGATACTGCAGCTCCCTGGTGTCCTACTCTGCTAGGATCGAACGCTCCCCTAGCTCTGCCTGCCTGGAGTGCAGGGATCCCCTTCAATCGGTCCAGCACCACTTTGCCTGCCCCACCTTCCCCACGCCCCTCAGCATCTCCTCACTGTGGGAAAGCCCCGTGGAGGCAGCAGCCTTCCTGGCCACCCTCCCTGCCTTTGCCCACCTTCCACCTCTTCCTGTGCCAGCCCCCTGCCCACCTCCTGAGCCTCCCCCCCAGCAAGCGTGATGGACGCAATAAACAACAACAGCATCACTCATTTGCCCTCATTTGGGCCAGCTGATGCACAATGCTGTTGCATGCTTCTCGCCATCGGTAGAGGTGCAGGGGCAGTCGATCAGGAATAGTGACCAGTCTCTTGGTAGGGATTCTGCCCAGAACCTTCTCAGTTGTCTCTCTCTCTCTTCCAGAGTGAACTCCCCTTCTCTTAGATCCCTTGGTAGGATGTCAAACAACCTCGGCCCAGACACAGAAAGGGATATATGCTATGCTAACAAGGTAGACCGGACTAGAGTTTTCGATCAATTATATCGAGCAAGCAAACACTGTTTGAAATCACCAATTGAAAGCCGGCAGATATTATCTCTGGGTAGTGGGTACAGTGTAGTTACGTATTTGCATAACCGATCATTGCGAACTCTCGATTGAAACTATGCTGTTGCTGCGTTGCATTAGGTTGGTTGACCAGCCAATACACCGAATTAAAGTTCAATTTTCTGAAGCGGGCGACGTGCTTACCTACCAAACAGCGTAGCGTAAGTTACGTGGCCTTTTTTTATAGTTGGATTTGAAGCTCGTGGCCATGGTTGAACTACTTGTCGCGACATATGCACCCACAAGCCTGGGCCTATATTCAGAACTACGTGGCCTTATTAAAATCAATGATAAAAATCGTGCTATATCAGCATATTAAATATAACTTTTTTAAACTACGATAAAAAGCACGATATTTTAAGCAGTAGTTTTATTGAACCAATTCAGCTTTCTGAAATAAGTTTAATTTTTCATTGTATAACTAACGACAACAATCCATGAGCAAAACCTAGACAAATATCAATATTTCAGTTACTCTTTATACACACATTCTGAAAATTACAGGGCATACAAATTGGGGTAATTGACAGGTAAGCTCCAATTAGATAGCTTGCAGTACAAGCAATACTTTTTAGGGAAATTTATCTCTGAGCGTTATTCATTTCAGTAAAATTAATATTACAATCAAAATCGCAATAAGTAATTTTTGTAAAACTAATATAGCTGCTCGAATTTTCCCGTGGTAGGTTAGCCTCCCCTTAAACCTAGAATTTAGAAACGCCGTGTGGTCACATATCTAGAAAAGGATAAAAATTTAGTCGAGAGTGTTCAAAGACGCGCAACAAGGATAATTCAGGGATTAAAAGGCAAGCCTTATAAAAAAGATAGAAGATTATGGAACTTCCAGGCCTCTGTTATCGACGTCTGCGTGGTGACCTCTTTAAAGTATACAGGTATACTCACGGTTTATACAAGGTCCCAGAAGTGAGGAAATTTGAAACAAGAACCAACACCAGGGGCCACGGCTATAAACTAAAAAAAAATGCGTTGTAACACATCCAAGTGACAACATTTCTTCTCGCTTCGCGTCACCGACATGTGGGACAGCCCCCCTGACGGCATCAGCGACGCTCCGAATATGAACGTGTTAAAGAACAGACTGCAGGATCAATGTTCAGTCTTGAAATGCCTAGCAACTTACGGACCAGGCATGAAGTCCAGCAGCTATATCAAATAATCGTCAGTTATGGAGAGATCGGGTTCAAAAGGCCAGAGCCCTTGTGGAATACAAAATCGTACAAAAAGTACAAAAATCGGCAACAACCCATGGGCCTATTGCTCCAGTGCCCACACTTCTATTTTATTCAAAATATCCTCAAGCCTCAACTAAATCTTTGCTACAACAATTTTTAAATACAAAAAATGCCGACAAATTCAATATAATGATTAATGTGGCCATAATAAAGTTTTATAAATCTAAGGAAGCTTAGCCTCATCTGTATTAAGAACCTAAAGGCTTAGGCCCTCCTTTAAAACCTAGTGACGCCCTGATTGGTTTCAAAAAGGAACTCTGGGTATGTGTTACATGAGGGATCTTGAGGTCTGTAAGGGTATTGAGGAAGATTTCCAGTAAAATTTCATTTATATCAGAAGTAGAGAAAACTGGAATGTTTATATAAAAGCATTACGTAAGGTTAAGGCACTGTGAGAACTAAGCTAAGCTCAAGAAACGTGTTAGTTAACAGCAATAAGTTTGTAATAGTAACTATAAGAATAATCATGTAGGATTTTCTACCAAATAAATAATTGTATTTCATCATAGGCTAATTAATAACCCCCTCAAATTGTTAACAAAAGCAAAATATCACGTAGAACTGAAAAAAAAAAATAAATATCAAACTCAGAAGTAGCCATCACAAGGCATATATCACACATCCAATTTAGATTCGCACCTTCTTGAATTATCTCAAATTAGAAGAGATTGGCCTACATGCAGCGGACGATAATAATCTGTCGCGTTCTTATAAATCTGATAAACTATAATGGTCTACATTCTCGAATCTAAACAACAAATATTTTCTTACAACTCCCAAAACGGATAGCTCTCATGTTTGATAATAAAATTCTCATTTAAAAATTATAGAGCAGCAAGAACCTTAAGAAGTAGAAATTTCCATTTTGATATTTGTAATTCGGCACAATGGAAGATGAATGACGTATTTTGACAATCATGAGTAAGCTTTCATCCACTCAAGACGTTGCGGACAAATTCCTCGTAGTTGACGTTGCCTTGGCTGTCCTCTTGGCCAACCAGCAGCTGCTCAACTTCTTCATCATTCAGCTTCTCACCTGAAAATAACATTTCAACGTCAATGGGTAATAAAATTAACACAAATGTTATACGGTATATCAATTAGAAACAAGAGTTAGTAAGTTTTTCCCGGACTTCCATGTACACTTGGTAAGTTTAAATGGCTCTTGTTCAAAACTTGGCCTAGAGGATGCATATCAGACGCTTCAAAACGTTGTCAATCGAATTTTCAAATGTCATCAACACCAGTCCAGCAGCTATCTCAATCAATCGTCAATTATGGAAAAGACGCTCCGAATATGAACGTGTTAAAGAACAGACTGCAGGATCAATGTTCAGTCTTGAAATGCCTAGCAACTTACGGACCAGGCATGAAGTCCAGCAGCTATATCAAATAATCGTCAGTTATGGAGAGATCGGGTTCAAAAGGCCAGAGCCCTTGTGGAATACAAAATCGTACAAAAAGTACAAAAATCGGCAACAACCCATGGGCCTATTGCTCCAGTGCCCGCACTTCTATTTTATTCAAAATATCCTCAAGCCTCAACTAAATCTTTGCTACAACAATTTTTAAATACAAAAAATGCCGACAAATTCAATATAATGATTAATGTGGCCATAATAAAGTTTTATAAATCTAAGGAAGCTTAGCCTCATCTGTATCAAGAACCTAAAGGCTTAGCCCTCCTTTAAAACCTAGTGACGCCCTGATTGGTTTCAAAAAGGAACTCTGGGTATGTGTTACATGAGGGATCTTGAGGTCTGTAAGGGTATTGAGGAAGATTTCCAGTAAAATTTCATTTATATCAGAAGTAGAGAAAACTGGAATGTTTATATAAAAGCATTACGTAAGGTTAAGGCACTGTGAGAACTAAGCTAAGCTCAAGAAACGTGTTAGTCAACAGCAATAAGTTTCTAATAGTAACTATAAGAATAATCATGTAGGATTTTCTACCAAATAAATAATTGTATTTCATCATAGGCTAATTAATAACCCCCTCAAATTGTTAACAAAAGCAAAATATCACGTAGAACTGAAAAAAATAAATATCAAACTCAGAAGTAGCCATCACAAGGCATATATCACACATCCAATTTAGATTCGCACCTTCTTGAATTATCTCAAATTAGAAGAGATTGGCCTACATGCAGCGGACGATAATAATCTGTCGCGTTCTTATAAATCTGATAAACTATAATGGTCTACATTCTCGAATCTAAACAACAAATATTTTCTTACAACTCCCAAAACGGATAGCTCTCATGTTTGATAATAAAATTCTCATTTAAAAATTATAGAGCAGCAAGAACCTTAAGAAGTAGAAATTTCCATTTTGATATTTGTAATTCGGCACAATGGAAGATGAATGACGTATTTTGACAATCATGAGTAAGCTTTCATCCACTCAAGACGTTGCGGACAAATTCCTCGTAGTTGACGTTGCCTTGGCTGTCCTCTTGGCCAACCAGCAGCTGCTCAACTTCTTCATCATTCAGCTTCTCACCTGAAAATAACATTTCAACGTCAATGGGTAATAAAATGAAAACAAATGTTATACGATATATCAATTAGAAACAAGAGTTAGTAAGGGTTTCCCGGACTTCCATGTACACTTGGTAAGTTTAAATGGCTCTTGTTCAAAACTTGGCCTAGAGGATGCATATCAGACGCTTCAAAACGTTGTCAATCGAATTTTCAAATGTCATCAACACCAGTCCAGCAGCTATCTCAATCAATCGTCAGTTATGGAAAGATCGGGTTCCAAATCCAGATCCCTTGTGAATCAAGTCACAAAAAGTATAAGAATCATCAACAGGCCATTGGCCTATTTCTTCAGTGCTGACACTTCTATTCTATTCTAACTTCTAAAACACGTTGTCTTCCCTTGTCTACCTACATAGACCTTGCACGAGCAGTTCCTGAACATCACCCTTTGAGTTCATTGTTTCTGATCCTCTCGCAGATAAATCCATGAAAGCTGAAAGCAAACCTAATGTTCAGATTCGGTTACCTCCAGCATCTTTCCTGCTTTCCGCTGAGAGATGTCTGCTAGCATATTCTAACCCACTGAGATCAAAATGGTTCTAATTGGCCCCGTCACCTCCCACTACCTTCAGAAAAGCCTTGTTTGCACACCCCCCTTCTCTGCTGTTCAGTATTGGCCTGGCTCTGCTCAGGCCACTGCAGTTTACTGGCATTCTACACCTTTTGTTTGGACACACAACATGGACCACTTACGAGTCACTATTGAAATTATTTAAATTTAAAGTATACCTAAAATGACCTTTCAGCGAAAAAAAATAACTAAAATTATCTAATTACCAAGATGGGTCAGGAGATGACGCAGCTCAGCAGATGAGATGTAGCCATTGCCATCCTTGTCAAAGTGTCGCAGTCCCTCAATGAAGTCATCAGCCGTGTCTCCTGAGCTCTGGCGAGAAATCGTCTGCAGGATCGGCAGAAACACTTCAAAACTGATGCGCTCCTCTGAAATTCAACAAGATTCATGTCATCAAATTAAATTATTCAATTTAATATAACACCATACACTTCAATGTTTAGCAAACTGTATCTATGCAACTGATTGAATTAAATTGGATATTTCCTTTAAAAATCTTAAATAACAATTCTCAGGTATATAGCCAACTCTTTCATTCTTTACCCCAATCATAGAATCAGAAACATGATTTTGTGCCAAAATGGTTATGAGATCTACAGCTTTACCAAAAATGCCATAACAAGAGAAATTAACAAACCAGGCCGGTGCTGCTGGCTGAGTCTTTTCACATCAGCCTCAGTTGGGTTTTGGCCAAGAGCCCTCAAAGCCTCTCCAATCTGAGTGACTTGAATTTTATGATCACCCTTCTGGTCAAAAATGCTGAAGGTCTCCTGGAATTCTGCAACAAGAAAATAAAAACATTGCTCAAGTGGCAACATAATTAAATACAGGAATAACTACAGCTTGCATAGATGTTGAAAAAAAATCTTGTATTATTTTCCATGAAATTAGTTTCATAAAAAATAATTGAAGATTGAATAATGTGAAGCCTAATACAAAAATGCAAGGCATTAATAAATTTGAGGAGATGTAATCAACATAACTTCTTAGAAGTTCAATGACTGCAGCATGGGTATGCCATTCATACTGAACCTAACTGCAGAAGTAAATAAGCTGGTTCAACATAGAATAAATGGCCAATTCTTTATGTAACATCTCCCTACCTTAATACATTAATTGACCATAAACTATTGCCTAACTTTCTGCTTGTCAATAAAAACAGTAGAATAGTATAGTACTATAGTAGTACTAGTAGTCTAGTACTATAGTAGTACTATACTATACTCCAGTCAAGCCATGACTGGATTTTTGGAGCCATTAATTCTATTTCCAGACTGTGAAAAGCCATTTTTAAGCAGCAAGTTCATTTGCCTAGCCAAGCACATGGATTATGCCAGAGCTTTTTTTTAGTTTATCTCTGCTAGAAGTAGTAACAAAAATATTTTTCTTCACTTGAAGCATTTTATCAGGTGATGTATTTTCAAAGTATATCAAAGAAACAATGCAGATATATATACAATGAAGTGTGACATGACTGGAACTATGTGATTATCAACTATAATCAACATCACAACATGCAGCCCAATCTAGACTATAAGGCATAATTTCCATAAATCACAAGTAGAAACAATAACTCAATGGTGTATTTGAAAAAATTAATGGTAAAAACATTTTCTAATTTTCTTATATACTAAATAAAAATAGGCCATAAAAAAGAATGAAATTGACTGCAAACATAGGCATTTTTGTCTCAGTTTGGGTCGCTTCTGCCTGATTTTCCAAAATGGCAGGCAGTCATTTTACAGGATATATTGGCAGGAGTGTGACAGCGTGGGACTGAAGCACGGGAATTAAAAAAATTGTGAAATGACATGTTGTTACCAGCAATATTTTCAAACAAACCAAAATAGGTACAAGGATTTGGCCAAGTTATTTTTTCCCATTCTAATAACAATTAGTACAATTACAACAAATGTTTCAAACCAATTAGTAACAATTAGGGAATGCTTTTGGTCTTGCTAGAAAAATGCAGTAATGTAACTTTAGTTTTGCCTTATACAATATATTTTTACCACTGATTTGGCAGATGACATGATACATGACTTCAGGAGCAATTAAACTCAGTGTAAATTAAAGGGTTAGGCCTATTAGTATTAGGCTACGCTGCACGATATGAAGTTCAGACAGGATTACAGGAACAGGCACATAACTTTGTAAGTCACGGTCCCAATATCCAAAAAATAGTCTAAATTTCTACATTGAAAAAATATATGTCGACAGTATTCATTCGAAGGAATTTTCTGTTCTACAGCAACGAAAATAATTCAACACCAACCTTGCGGCCACGCCCAAAAAACTTGCATCAAACATTTTTCCGACCATTTCACCCACCTTGAATTTGATCCTCGGTGAACGCCGCCTGCAAGAGAAAATAAAGTTTGAGTGAAGATACTTCGAAAACATGATGAACATAATTCATGTTATTCAGACAGAATGTAAATAATGCATCTCACCATGCCGAATAAAACCTAATCCCGAGTGGCAAATTCGCAGCTGTTGAATCGTTATCTGGCTCAGTCGACTGACACGCAATAACTACTGCAGTCACTCACTTTCTTCCACAATTGACCTCCCTAAAGTAAATCCCTTAAATTTTATCCAAAAATACCCTAAAAATGTCAAGAAGCAGCTATTTTAAAAAATTATATGGAATGACACAACATGTACAATTTATAGGCTTGATTCAGCATTTAACTTTCCAGTTTCGTGATTCGATTGAATTGTTGCAAAACACCCTCACTTATTATCTAAGAGAACTTATTCTGAACATTCAATACAAAAATTTCAACTTGTCAATATGAAAATATCTATTCAAAATATGTTATTCTCATTTACTGTTCTACCCGAGTTTTTGCCTATTCGACAATTTCTAACGTAATTTATGCCCAAGTTACTTAAAATTCACGAATTTACTGCATTCTCTCGTTTTGGATAGGTTTTGGGATGAGGTCCAGCTGTCAAAGGTCATACTCTTGTTTTCAAATTAATCTCACAACTTCGCTTATTGCGAAGTGAACTTTTCTTGTTTTCCCATGTTTGATTGCTCCGTTATCATTGACAAATTATATAATTCGATTTTAGTCATTAAACAACTAAAAAAACTTTATAATCTTCTCAAGTTCCGACAGATGTTTTCAAATGAAATGAAATCGGCTTGCCAATTGGGTAATTGCCATATGTTAAGAAAACGATATGATACCTAGACCATGTGCAATAGTTTGCATTCCAATCGATTAGCTGTTTCAAGAAAACTTAGATCATTTATTAATGCAATTTGAATGCGCATACAAACAACGACACGAGCTTAATGTTTTTAAATTAACGTCATCGGACGTTGACTAGTTTTTATTCGAGGTTCAAAACCAAGTTCATCGTTACCCATGAAATACACATCATTAAGCACTTACGGGGTTAAAAAAAGACGTATGTAGAAAATGGATAGTTAATCGTACGACACTTTTACGAACTCGCCTGCGCAGTCATAACTCCTTCAATACAGAACGGGTTTCATTCAAATTTGAAATATAAGTAGGCGTAGGTATTACTAATGCGCTGCGATACGAATTTTTACAGATTTTTATAAAAATTAATTTTTTATTAATACAGAAAAAGCCAATGTTTGAAAAATTAGCCCAGTCATAGTTTTTCTAATAACAAATGAATCCGATTGAAATTTGAATATCTGAAGGTATTAGCAATGCACTGCGATAGAAATTATTACATATTTTTACATAAATTCGTTTTCTATTAATATGGAAAAAATCACTGTTGGGACTGCTCGCTCAGTCATAATATTTTTAATATTGAACAAATTTGCGTAAAATTTGAAACTTGAGTGGATATTATCAATGCGCTGCGATAGGAATTATTGCAGATTTTTACATTGATTTGTTTTTGATTAATACGGGGAAACGCAATGTTTAAGCAGCTCACACAGACATAAATTTTTTAATTATTCAACAAATTTGCTTGAAATTTGAAACTTGAGTAGGTATTACCAATGCGCTGCGATAGAAGGGATTGCAGATTTTTACATTAATACATTTTTGATTAATACGGAAATGGAGCAATTCACCCATTCATAATTCTTTCAATACTGGGGGAAGTTGCTCTAACATTTCGTTCTCCCATATTAATTAAAACAAATCAGAGTAAAAATCTGCAATAATTCCAATCGCAGCGCATTGGTAATACCTACCGTACTCAAGTTTCAAATTTCAAGCAAATTTGTTCAATATTAAAAAAAATTATGACAGGGCGGGCAGCCCCAACATTGAGGTTTTCCATATTAATAAAGAAGTAATTAATGTAAAAATCTGTAATAATTCGTATCACAGCGCATTGTTAATACCTACTTATATTTCAAATTTGAATGAAACCCGTTCAGTATTGAAGGAGTTATGCCTGGGCGAGTTGAGCGCTAAGTTAGGTTTGCGGTCGAGTGCGCAGGCGAGTTCGTAAAAGTGTCGAATCGGTCTTGTGGAGGGAGTATAATATGAGTGGTTGACATTTCATAATAAACAGGGTTATTAGCAAAATATTGCATTCACTACCCATTCGAATTTTCGAATTGTTCAAAACAAGAACGCTCTCATGTTCTATATTAATTTGCCTAATATTCGCAACTCAATGCAGAAAAGTGATACGAATAAATCATAATATATATAGCGCTGAAGAGTGAAGAGTAGGCCTGATGTGGCCTGTCGCCGATTCTTACCGAATCGACACTTCACCGGACTCGGCTGCGGACTGGCCTGCGGACTCGAATGAAAACCTAACTTGACGTTCAACTCGACCACCTATAAATCCGTCAATAATAAACGGATTTCATTCAAGTTTGAAATGTAAGTAGATAATAATAGTAATTTGTGGACGGAATTTTTTCAAATTTTTACATCGATAACTTTTTTCTTAATACGGAAAACCTAACTTAATTTCCAACTCGACCACCCATAAATCTGTCAATAATGGACGGATTTTATTCAAATTTGATATATAAGTAGATAATATCAATAATTTGTGGATCGAATTTTTTCAGATTTTTATATCAATAACTTTTTTATTAATAACTGAATTGTTTCAAATTTTTACATTAATTACTTTTTTATTAATACGGAAAACCTAATTGGGACGACTGAAATAACCCAGCATTGCCCAATACCAGCATAATTTTCATACTTTACCCCGTGCGCAAGCATGCTGCAGAGCAAATTAGCCAACATGATTACTTGCTGAAAGCCACAGGGACTAAACCCCTTCACGGATGTAAACCAGCGAGCCAATGACCTGCAAGCCGCCAAAACAATGGTCGTAACCCACACGCTAAACCCCAAAATATTTCTATTCCATGCAGCCTAGCCCCTTCCCCACTTTCGATAAAGAACGCCCTGCGCCACACTGCTACCTCTCCAGCCTCTCCGTTCTTCTGGAGGCTAAACCTCCACGCTTACCCCCTGCTCCCCCTCCTTTCGGTACCAGCTTGCGGAAGAAGTTTAACCAAACCTAACATAACCTAACCCCTTCGCGGTATCGCGGAAAGGTGGAGAGAATGGGGCAAGTGTGGAGGAAGGAGATGCTGGTGAGCGTTAGGGCTGGGCTTACGCCTGCGAAGTGGGTAAGGTGATGCGACAGTCCGGTGCGGGGCCGTACCCATTTACGGCAGTCTGGTGCGGTCTGCGGACCCTGTGGCTTACGGCATTGGTAAGAAGTGATGGTATGGGCTTAAATCATTGGTGTAGGAGCTATTGGGCGTAATCCGTTTGTAGTATCAGTTTGTGGGATGAGGCATTGCTTGTTTCAAGCTGGTGTGGCGAGATGAGGCAAGTATAAGAACAGCTGCATAGGTATTAGACTGACAACCCTCTACATTGCATGTAGAGGGTTGGCATTGGCTTTTGGGCTGATTTAAGAGTCTAATTTTTGGGCTACGGCAGCGCTCCCACTTCATGTTCACCTCGCAGGTTAGGTCCTAGTCAGGTCAAGTTTCAGTATTTTGTGGTATTAGAAAAAAGTTATTGATATAAAAATCTGGAATAATTCTGACCACAAATTACTGATATTATCTACCCATATTTCAAATTTGAATGAAATCCGTCCATTATTGACGGATTTATGGGTGGTCGAGTTGAAAATGTAGTTAGGTTTTCCGTATTAGTAAAAAGTTATTGATGTAAAAATATGAAAAAATTCCGTCCACAAATTACTGATATTATCTACTTATATTTCAAATTTGAATAAAATCCGTCCATTCAATAAAACAATAATAATTCATTCAATTCAAACAATAAAAATAAGTTTAACATTAATTCTCGCTTGACGATGCTGTCAAATCTGTCTGAATTGCCTATGCTTGTACGTACACAAAAAATATTTACCTCCACAAGCATTCCTACGTAATTTTACGAATAATATCAAGGAGTGCAAAAAGTTGTTTGAAAATATATATATTTCTTTGTAGTAATAATTTTAGCTACTTGAAATTGCAGCAATCTGATGATCTTAATGCCTGTCACTTACATATTAGATGCAGTGCTGCCAGCTCTAGGTTTAAAATGCAGGATCTATACTTTTTTGCTTCCAGCTAGGTTTCTATATTTTTAATTTACAAGCTTATCTAAATCTAAATTTTTACAATGATGCACTGAAAGTAAAAACCAACAGAACAAAGTACATTTGAAGTTTAAACCCTATTAGTATTAATTAAATGAGATAATAGCACTACCTAATAGCATATAATAGCATACATAAGTAAATTCTGGCAATAATTATTGTCAAGAAAGTGGAAATACTACATGTTCTAATTTCTATATCCATGTTCATATAAGTTCGTACAGAATACAGATTGTACTGTATCGTGCGCGTCGGTTAAAAACAAGAAGTTATTAAAAATAGAATAAGTAATAAAATAAAATAATAATGAATTAAAATGATAATAAATAAAAAAAATATTGCGATGAAAATAAGAAATAAATAAAATGAATAAATACTAAATATAATAAAATTATAAGTATATAATAAAGTATTAAAAAATAACTTCAATAAAATTGGAAATATGTTAAATTGTAATTTCTATTTATCCCTATATATCCGTGCTCATTGTATATAATGTTAATGTATATGGTACATTGTACATATCCATACTCTATATATGCCCATAATCATAATGGTTTATAAATTCTGTATAGATTTGAACAGCTTTCCAAAGATCGATGAATAAAAGTATTACATTAAATGCGAATTAATCACCATCAGCACTCAACTATCATCGTGCTAGTTTTGCTTAATTTAAAAAGAATCAAGGAAGTCAAAGCACTAGACCTAGCTTCAGAATTTATTTCCGACATATTTGATCTATATTAATTTGATTATTATTTATTAATATAGATCAAACATGTTGTAAATAAATTCTGAAACTAGCTCTAGTTAATTTGATTCAACGCATTCAAATTAACAATTCAAATCAAATTAATAATTTGATTCAACGGTAATGCGTTGAATCAAATTATTAATTTGATTCAACGCATTACCGCCTAATTTGGTGAAATCTGTTACCAAATGTGTTTTATAAATTGATATGATATTGGGCTCATTGAAGCCAGCCGAAAGACCTGCTGCAAGACCGGCAGACTTAAAGTTCGATGGGTTTGGTTTCAAAGAAAACTCTCCAGAAATTCATATAAATCTTAAGTAAAACATCACTCATTGACATATGCCAGCTCTCAACTAAGTGCCTGATTTTAATTGGTATAGCATTGTTCTATTCTTATCATTTATGAAACGGTTCTTTTCCAAAGCGATTCATCGTGATTATGTAGATCGTCTTTGCAATGGGATCCAACCTGTAGCAGATGACGACCATTAATTGGATTTAATTATTCCCTTTACATTTTAGCACGTTTAAATTAGCAACATCGATGTTATATTTCCTCTAACTTTCTTCCTACAATATACTATATATGGCAATTTTTCGTGCGTTTGTGCAAGTTGAGATTATTTCTAGGCGACATCATTATATTATTCTCCCTCTATTTCATTATCAGACTCTGTTTCATATTTTACGAAACTTATACAGTTTCCTATTAAAGTTTATTTTAATATAACGCTGAATCATGGTGTACCTCTGCTAGACTCTTGCGTCTCGGTATAATTTTCCCGAAATGAACCGCGGGACAACAGTGACGAGACGAAAAATTGCCGGGAAAAAATGACGGGACAGAGGTTTGTTCCGGAATAAACGTATGAACCGGGACAAGACTTACGTCCCGGACTTTAAAACTTGTGTTCCGGTAATTATGAAACTATACGAGACAGACAGATACAAAACGAGACGTGACACAACGAGACATGTCTTAAATATTCAAGGCAAAACGAGATGTTCTTTACTATGTGAAAACAAAACGAAGCATTCCAAACGCTTGGTCATGGGCAGATTCGGCGACATTGGCTGCCAAACTAATTGGGAAGTTAATTTATTGGGTAGACTTGGCGATGTACTTGACTGAATATATATCGAATGATGCTGTTGCTGAGCCTTTAATTGCACCTTTCGAGAGTCATACGCGTTCAGCACGCTTAATGATATCATCACGAGTCGTTGACATAGTGTCGATTAGTCAGCCGCTTAAAAGAGTGTGGAAGGGTTCTCTTAGGCCCGGCAAAATGCCACGAATCAGAAGTGGTAACAGGAAAAATTTTGATAAGCAGAGAACAGGCTAGACCCATGATCAGGATATAAAGTCGAGGCCAGTAGTCGTCGCAAATTTTGTGCCGATATTTACAAGTTCAATGATGGCAACACACCGAGCATGCGTAGACACCTTCTTTTATGTAATTAGCCCCAAGCAAGTAGAGAGCCGACCACCTAATGCTAATTGAACTTGTTCGCTTAACCTTTCGGCTATTTAATTTTACATCATAGATTGTTAAAAAACGCGTAATAGTTTCCATGGCATCTGTCTTGTAAAAACTTGCTGGCTGGAAGTAGGATCACAACGGGCAGCTACTGGCCGATACTCGCTATTAACCCCAGAAACCGGTCACTAGCCTGGTACGCGAGGTCACTAGCCTGGTACGCGAGGTCACTAGCCTGGTGCGCGAGGTCACTAGCCTGGTACGCGAGGTCACTAGCCTGGTACGCGAGGTCACTAGTCTGGTACACATGGTAACTAGCCTGGTACGCGAGGTCACTAGCCTGGTACGCGAGGTAACTAACCTGGTACGCGAGGTCACTAGTCTGGTACACATGGTAACTAGCCTGGTACGCGAGGTCACTAGCCTGGTACGCGAGGTAACTAGCCTGGTACGCGAGGTCACTAGTCTGGTACACATGGTAACTAGCCTGGTACGCGAGGTCACAAGCCTGGTACGCGAGGTCACTAGCTTAGTACACTAGGTCACTAGCCCGGTAAATTAGTGACGATTAATACCTACCTGCTTTAGTTTAAATCGAATATGAAGCAACGCAAAAATTAACGTTGCTGCAAGGACTTAGAAATCATAAATCCTCCAGCTGCTCATTTCAAACAATTTGTTGTGTATTCAATTTCACTTCGGCCCTTCAAATTAGCTAGATGGACAATAACGATGTCATTTTACCTAGTAATTTGCCTGAAACATTGTACAGACAAAACGTTGATCAGGTAATGTCTTAATTAATTCATTATTCTAATTACATATTAGGGATTAAAATACTCGCTGTGTCTCGCTATGTCTTGTTATAAAAGATGAAATTTCCGGGAAAGTTCAAAACTTCTTTTTAAACCGGGACGTCGCTTCTCGGTATTGTCCCGGAATTCCCACGGAGTACTGGGAATTGTCCCTGCTTCTATTGCTAACCGGGACAGATTCTGTTGTCTCGTCTCGAATGGAAAAAGGATAAAACGCAGGAGGTCTAACCTCTGCAGATCCAGATATTGACTGTTGATGACGGCTTCTTTGGTTATGAGTTCATCATTTCATAATATTATAATGCATTTCGAGCAATAAATGACGACACAAGAAAATATTAATGATAAGTGGAAAATGGTCTTACGCTGGCAACCGTCGTTACCGCCAAAACACAAAAATAGCCCGCTGATTTTTTTATTTTATTTTTAAGAACCATAACGACGGGGGTTGAATTCACTTCCTGCTAGCAGTAGTCACACGAAGTTGCCTCAAAAGGTTCGTGGAAAAGCAACAGTTCGAAAATACTATCAAAGTCATTAGGTTTATGGTCATACATTTGCTTGATCTAGCTCTATGTATTTCTGTGAACGCTGATACCAACCTATAAGTCAAACTGTGTAAAACTGAGATTCATGTATTTGAACTATGTCATGGTAGCTAATTTTGCATCTTCAATTTATGGAAACTGTGAACATTTACAGGTTATGAATTACAGTCATAAAGGGATTGCGCCATCGAAATATGGAGCACGATGCACATTAGGGCTACAGATGCTAGTTCACCGTATAACTGTGGACGTAGTTCATTATCATTTTGATTACATAATTCACTTAATATATGGCAACACCAGCTATATAGTAGATTGTGAATGGAGAGTTTCTTGCATGGCGGGCCGCTATTCGCGCGACTGCGGAAGTGTCGGGAGTCCAGTCGTCGAATTACCTGTTCTGCCCTTGGTTAATCAAATACTAGCTTGTGTATTTTTGTCTATAAGTGTATTATATTGACCTGCATTATATTTATTATAGCCTCCTAAGTGCTTATTTTTCTATTGCCGATGTACAGATTGGATCACTAATTGGAACTTTGTTGCTCAATGACGTGAACATAGTGTTAGATTATTGAACCTCTTCGTCCAGTTGGAGATTAGCAGGACGTCTTAGATGTCTGAATGGCACCGTGTTTACTTATGAGCACCAAGATTGGAGCAGCGAGCTGGGGTTTCTGCTACCTGCTACAGTTCTTGTCAAAATCGGCAACGAGGCCGGGCGGTTGAGCACAGCAAATATGGGGCAGTTAGCTGCATTTTTGAGACCTCAACAAGATGTGAGTATTCTGTGCGGTTCAGAATAGCAACAGGTCGAATAAACTAATCAACGCCGGTACTGCTATACTAATATACTATAATTACGTTTAATCTTTATAGGCGTGGCGTCTTCTGACGAAACCGCTTCAGTAACTACTCTACTACCTAGATTAGAAGGTGCACAAGATTGTAGGCTCCAACAGTAGTGATGGAGGGGTAATTTTATTGGGTTCCGGTAAGTTATTTGATACCTGTAACAGCGTTACTGTGCGATCGGACAAAATTTCCGGCTTAGAGCCATTAATAACGTTAGAATAACTTAGTTATCGTAAATCTATAAATTTTTCGAAAAAAAACTATACAAACTTCATCGAAGGTGACGATTCAGTGTTCATTCACTGTTTGAACCCTCTATTTTGATGGACCACGTCAATTAAAACCAAATTTAGTAAATCTTGCGTAAAATCTAAACAGAATTCTATTCGATTTACATTCAGTATTGATGAATTTACTACTCCGGTATTCAAATTACCACATCAAATTAAGCATTTTTCGATTTAAATTTAAATTCTAGGCCTTAAATTCTTAACAAATCAAGAGGAAATTTTGAATAAGTCCTAATCGTTCCTAAGTCGGTAAATAAATACTGTGAGGTTAGAGTCAGATGCTAAATTAATAAATTAGCATGACGAGTTTTCCAAACTATAAAGCCGATTCTCACTAATGAACTTCATGCTGTTACAGCCTTGATTAAAGAATTGACGAATTCTAAAAGTGACGTCTAAAAGTAATACGGCAGTGACGCCGTTAATGCTAATGAATAATGAGGCGCACTTACAAAAGATTATAAATAATCCTATGCAAACTTCATTGAAGTTTGCATGTTTTTTTTAACTTAGCATGGCTAAAAGCGTTGGAATCAACGGGCTGATTATATCATTAACGTCTAGGCAAGTCTTTGAATCGTGTGACGTAATCGCCTAAAGTATATGCAACTTAAAAATGAAGTAGCAGCTGAACTATGGTTCATTTAATTATGCTAGTCATTACTAATCACTGAAGCTTTAATGAACGTTGCAAATGTTCATTTGCTCTGTTCAAATGTTGATTTGTTAAAAGCGAATGTTTATTTTCGTATATACGAAATCATCCGAACGCCGTTTTCTATAATAAATTCATCTAATTCAGCATTAACTCGTGAAACATCATAACACGTTAATAAATTCCACGTGAATAACGGTAACATAACGAGCAAAGCAAACTACAAATGCTGTTGCTGTACCAATGGTACTTTGAGCAACGACGTGCGTGAACGTAAAGCGCATGTGAGTGAAAACGTTCACACAGAGATCAAAGGCGAAGGCCACGTGGCTGAGCATGCTACGATACAGCACTAGCAGCAGGCCTGAGATGACAGAAACTCGGTGACCGCAGATCAAGTTATCTTGACGAACGACTTTTTCATTGACGAACGATTTTTATCATTTGCTTAAATTGCACGAAGGTAATGATACCGTTCTCAGAGAACGTACTCACGTTACTGTATTTAATGTAAAAGAATTATTACTTAAATAAGAATTCCATTGATACAAACATATTAATGCGTACTGTGATTATTTTTCTTGAAAGAGGGTAAACTGAGCAATGCAGTCTCTAAACTCTAATAACGGGGTTACCACGTTGAAAACGTTACGTTATTACTATTACGTTACCAAAAATCGCACGTCTTCAATCATAGTATTGAATGTAATAAAGTGTAACGATGTTTCACGATGAAAGACTGTATAATGTTAATTCTTTTAGCATATAACAAGATGTATTAACATAATAACTTGACTACTGCACGCCATTACGTATGCACAAAAATGAGTTGTCAGTAAGAGGTCAGTAAGACTGTTATTGAGATGAATTGTCATCGTGATAAATTCACGTTGCTCAAATATTACAATATATAGAGTATAAAATAAATGTTGTATAACTTAAATAGTCAAACTATGGCATGTATGATCAATGTAAAATTGACTATGCTATTTAAGAAATGTCATAAGACGATTATTCACAATATGACTATTATATGGTAAATAGAATTGCGTGTATGGATGTGCGATTGACGAAATGTTGAATGAAAAATCGATGTTATAGCATACGTGCTTGCGAGAGTCGAGGAAATTCAATCAAAGTGTAATTAAGCTCCATGCATAGCCTGATGAAGAGCCTGAGCATAGCCTGAGAAAGTGACTCAGAGTCCAACTCAAGATGCAAGTCACAAGGGACAAGCTCTCGTTTTCTAATAATGATTCGCGATAATCAATAACTTCGAGTCAATAAATAAATTTGATTCAATGAAATAAGTTCGATTCTTAATAAAAGAAAACTAATCTATGTTTAACGAAATATCATAACCATGGCTTGTTAATATTTGTTGTTAATAGCAACATAACGATATATAACGAACGTGAGAACTTTCTGCTAGACATATCATTAATAAATATGTGTTATTAATTCTCTGCTTTCCCTCCTCACACCTTTGTGTTGTTAACGCCGATTTTTATGTCATTCGTTCTAATGCATGTTTCCGTCCATTTATTCGCGTACGAAAAATAGCTGATATTCTTATAAAGGAGCTACAACACGCACTGAATTCATCCGTTAGCCGCTCCCAGGTTATTCGCAATGATGGGAAAAATTGTTGAATAACATAATATTGAAAGCAAGAATTGAGAGTAAGAAATTCTTAAAGATCAAAATCACGTCCTAGCAAAGTAAAGGTCTGCTTCCAAACGAGATTTCCTTGGGATAATCTTGTACACGGAAATTACAAGTAACGCTAGTTGTAGTTTGGTCTTTAAAATGAAACAAGAATAGAACTTGCAAGTAATTTTTCACACGCTTCAAAAACACAACTCTATTTACTTAATGTTCCTTGTGGTCTCCAGTTCCCATGACATTCCAGCCGGTGGATCAAACCCAATCAACTGTAAAATCAAGAAATTATAACTGAGTCAATTTATTCCGGCAGACTGAAACATACGTTTGCTACAGGCATACAAAACAGGTATAATGTGGACAATACACAAATAACTGTAGTCTGTAGACATGAAAATTATGTGCTTATACCTGGCGTAGGAAGCCAGTTTACGAAGGAAAACCAACACGAAAACTCATTGGGCTAGAATTGCTTGCAAAATAGAAGTTTACTCTACGAGTGCCACGCAGTGAAGTTGCTTATTTCTAATTTAGCTCGAATGCCGCAGAAAAACTTCTTGCCTGTTATATTTTCAAACATGATTACAAATTCTCTGGAACTCGTGAATAATCCATATCTCTCAATTAACATCATAAAGAACACATCCGTTATTTTCAACTCCTACCTGCAGTCAGGTATGTTCTCGGTGGTGAAAGTAGCCTTGTAGCCTCTGTATCCGTTTTTCTTAATGTATTCATGGTTCATGTAATGCAGGATGAGCTCTGACTTGTCACTTTTGAACGCTGTTCCTTTCTCAATTTCTTTACCGCAAAATCTAAAAAATTATATTCGAAAAAAATTATTGCATTTTAATAAAGCTTCCATAATGCAGACCAAACACTTGATTGCTAATCCTCTACATTGAACTACTTTGTGAATTTTTTCAGCAGTTAATACAGGGAATTTTTTAAACTTTAATCGTGATTAATTGATGAAAATACAAGATATTTTGATATCACACCGCAACAGGCAATAAGTAAATGAATGAGTGAATGAATTTACTTCATTCATACGTGAATCAAGAACCACGAAAAAACAAGCCATACATTTTCCCCTCCGGCACTGAAACGTCTGAGCGGATCTCGAGGTAGCTGAAGGCGCAGCGATTATTGATGGCACTGCGCGGCTCTATATGGAAGTCTTGGAACGTCAGCACCGCTCGCTGGCACTTCTCAGCACGGACAACCTGCGTGTACTGCGTTTCTGGAAAAATTAAATTATGTAGGAGTTATCATACTTTGTTCATACAGTTACCATATAGGACATTGACAGCATAGAAATGATAATTTTTAGGGCATACAGTTGCTCGAAAGAACACAGACAGTATAGAAATAATAATTTTTAGGGCATACAGTTGCTCGATAGAACACAGAAAGTATAGAAATAATCAATTTTTAGGGCATACAGTTGCTCGATAGAACACAAAAGTATAGAAATAATAATTTTTTGGGCATACAGTTGCTCGATAGAACACAGACAGTATAGAAATAATTAATTTTAGGTTACACAGCTGCTCGATAAAACAGACATTCTTGTTTTTCGAACACATTCTTGTTCTTTTGTCAGTTTGCTGACAAAATGCTCGCTGAAAATATGCAACGACGTCTCATTAATTATATCTTCATAGTCATACCACCAACTCACTAGGTATTCTCTAGTCGAATCAACGCTGAAACAAGCGCCATTTAGCATGATTTAGAACATTTGAATCACGTTAAAAACTGATTCAGAAGGAAAGCAGCCGCACCGTCACTCATTTTACTTATATTGCCATGATACTCACTACTCATTAAGTTGAAGCACCATGAAAAATTGTCAATTAAACTTTTCCAATCAAAACAATTGCTAAGAATTACATACCGTTCGCTGGCGCCTTGTCGGGGTAGCCAGGAGAGACGACCTCTGCACCAGAGTTTGAGATGACGGAAGTGTACGGAGAGAGCTGCTTTATCAGAGCATCTGTGATGAAATGTGAGTGTTTAGCGACGATAATGTAAACGATAGATCAAAATTGTTAGCAAGGTAAAGCGTGTATCATGTCTGTATTAGATCAAAGTTTATTGAAAGTCAAGAATTTATTTTCATGGTCTCTTTATCATCTATATTATGTAAGATCCAAACATATGAAGGGAGTTAAAGATATCCCAGCAATTGCCTGTCAAGGTATGGGAGCCAGCAGGCACATACAGTATATGGCCTCGAGCCACAGAAAAGAATAATAATTTGAAACTGGAAAATGTGAGTGTCACTGTGATAGAAATAACGGATATCCTGATGATTAATTTTACCGAATCGTAAACATAATTTCCCAGCTCAAGAAAGGTAAAGAGAACAACCAGCAAATCGAGGGAAAGAAAGTGATCACATCTAATAGTCACTAATTTTTTTAACATACTTTTATTATTTTATTTTTTGTGTGCATAATATATTCACCGCTGTTGACCAGAATGACGATCATGCAAAATATACTTAATGAAATTATTTCACAGATAAAACAGTTTAAAAAGTATACCTGTAACCACCCAAACAGTGGTACGCGCACCCTGGTGGTGCACGAGGGCCTTTCAATTAAGTGGTACGCAACTACTTGTAGTTTCATCAAATATTTATAGTTAGTAATTTTTATTTAAAGCCTCTAAAAGGCTCATAATGTAATACAATATTATCTGGCAAGTTGGCAACGGTTGCAAACATTTAACATGCGCCACATTAAAATATGCTTTCAGTGTTAACTTAAAATGAGAGCTAAATGTGCTGTGAGCGTTTTCTTTAGGGCTAGATATTTGCCCGTCAACTTGAATAAATTGAAACTAACACGAAATATTACGAGCCAATATGTAGCATTGGTCGTAGGGGCGCCTGATCAGGACCTCTGAATAATATTCGATCACAATAATTTTGGGGACAGAAGTGCTACACTTATGCTACCATTGTCTATACTCGTCAGAAATCCTATGGGATTTCGCGCTCCTATAGGGTGATTGTTCCTGAGCGCCCCACCGCTGGCTCGCGGTGTCTTACTG